TAATATGTAATTGATTATGATTTGTATTTGATCATACATCATACTCCTTTTTTTGAAAATAAAATTAACTGATACTCTGTAGTTCGATATTCAATAGATTTATTGCAATTTTACAACCATACTGGCGTTCACGTGCTTGGCTGTAAACTAAACGGTACACTAAATCAATGTAAGTCCTGTAATCGCCATCCTTTCAACATAAATATGAAAATTCCAATTCCTCAAACATTAAACTACTGCTTTTGCTACGAACGACAAACAATCAATTAATCATTCCTTTTCATTATTCCTAAAAGTATTACAAAGAATGAATTATACAGAAATGTGCTTATAATATAATCCCCATAACTATTATCAAATTGTTGTTTGAGTTTATATTCTAAGTCAATTTAGAAGTTTATATCTGGTTTCTTATTTCAGTTTTATTCAAATGTAAACGTCTTGGTGACTCTTGTCGTAGAACTATATTTCATCGTTGTTGTGGTGATGCCACGTGTCAGTTAAATAGTTCTAAGGGTAAATGTGTACCGTGTTTGCGAGTTGATCGTTCATGTTGGAGAAATAAAGATTGTTGTAATGGAAGATGTCGCCGTTCTAAGTGTAAGAAGTTTGGAAATCGAAATATAAACGCTATTTTGCAAATTAGCATGAAGAGAACAGTTTAAAGAAATTTTCACTTGTCTAATTGAAGACATAATATGTAAAGTAATTTAGCATTATTGTCAATACAGTGAATGATCAATAATTCACAAAAACTGAAATACTAATTAAAAATGCATTTTCGATAGTTGAGATCACGAGTCAATTGAACCTGGACTACCATGTAAAACATGGAAGCACTGGACGGAAGTTTCGTTCTACTGTGGGACTCCTCAGCAGTGCGTATCCAAGATCCCGCCTCGCGAGATTCGAACCCAGGACCTAACAGTCCCGCGCGAACCGTTAACCACAAGGTTTTTGATGGTGGTCTAGCTTCAAATGGCTCATGATTGCAACTTTGAAATTACTATATTATCCACAAAACCCCTTCTGATATTAAAAATACATTTGTTTCAGCAACAAAGTGTTTTGATTGTTATTTTCACTTCTTAAACATCAGAGATCTATAATTAAAAAAGAATACTTTCATGAATCAGAACTACACATTCACAATTATTGATTTGGATAAATGACCTAGCTCTAAATGAAATGAATTCGTTATACAAAGATTCTATTTATGCATTTCAATAATAACTAGATAGTTTGTAAATTTTAATAGTGAAGATTATAGAATCTTTACAAATCCACCATATAAATAGTATATCAAACATTAAATATATTATTGTTATTACTTTGGGATAAATCAATGCAAATATATAAGTTTGATACCAAATTATTCATATCCGATAAAGTTAAGGGAGGATGTAGTAATGATAAGGTATCAACATCACCCAATACCATCAATGGTTAAGTGAATCACTCCATACATAGTTGATTTCATAAGTTTCTCTCTAAGAAATCCACGTTCGAACTAGTTAATAACGAGAATACTGATACTTTTCAGATTGTTCAGTTCTTCATTAAAAACTAGGTGATTATTCCCAAATTGAAGAGATCTCCACAAATATGCAAACACAGATAAATGTTTATTGTAATTGTGAAGTACAAGTATTTTTTCACCAATATGCTAGCTTTATATCGTCTCATTTCTTATTACATAGCTATATTATTATTATTATCATTGTTATTATTATTATTGTTATTATTATCATGCCATAAACTGAAACTGGTTAGCGAAATTTTAGCAAAGTTGATTTTTAAGAGATGAGGTTGCTGACTCCATGCCCAACCCTCATCCTTCCACCCCGGCTTCGCACCAGAAGTTATGGACCAAATACAATCAATCATCCTACTACGAGAGAGAATAAACCAACGTCCAGCTGAAGAGGAGATAAGGAAAAGATGTTGGAAGTGGATGAGAATTACCTTGCGGAAATCATCAAACTACATCACGAGGTAAGCGCTAACATGGAATCCTGAAGGGAAAAGATAATGAAGAAGACCAAATAACACACTGCGTCGGGAATTGGAAGCAGACATTAGAAGAATGAACAGAAACTGGAAACAGCTGAAAAGGATTGCCCAGAACAGATTTGAATGCAGAATGCTAGTGGCTAGCCTATGCCCCTCCTCGAGGGGTCACATGCGTAAGTAAGTAAGTAATAAACTGGAACATAAACCTCATAGGATAATTTTCATTTTTGACATAATCATCGAAACTGATTGAACTATTTGGCCACCGTTTTTAACATTCAACATATATTCAACTGGTTATATTATGAAATACTTATATATTATGCACTTTAGAGAATTATTTACATTATGAAACAGTATAATTTGAAAATGGTCATTATTTTTTAATGCAAACTGATAGATAAATAAAATTCAGTTGATATCTACAATTATGTTACTACAAAAACAATGGCCATTAGTAATGATCATGTTTATATTACAATTACACTGTTTAAAAGTAACATATGAACGTACGTTAGAATGATATCTGATAATAATTGAGTGATGAAATAAATATAACCACATTGTATAATCCATATATTAACATTTCATTGCATAGGCGACATTTTGGTTAGATAAAGTGTTTGTTCAATGTTGTGTGGAAAATATATGAAGATATATATCAAATAGAAAGTTTCTTAGCTCTAATCTGTAGTCGGTAGGAGCAAATAGTTATCTAGTACCGCATAATATTCAAAGATTAACCAAGTATTATTATCGAAATGAGGTTCGGGAAGCATAGAACAGCCGTTCCGTCCTACGATGAGGCTCCTTAGTAATAGACATCCATGATCATGCATACGGAAATCGAACACAGGAAATTCGATTTCATGCGTGAATGCTTGAACTCGAAACCACCGAGTCAGGATCTAATGATGTATATATTTAATCTCAATCAATTCATGATACTGTGGGGCCACTTTCCATGTATGTAATTGCCTCACGCCCGATAGAGTCAAATTCCTAAAGGTTACAGCCTCACACTAGAAATCCTGGGATTGCATTTAGATGTTGGTCATTAGTGAGTACATGATTATTATTAGCATAAAGTTTTGTGTTGATTGTAGAATTTTTCGGTTTCAATCAGTGGTCTAGTGGTTAAGCGTTGATGTACAAGACCAAAGGTTCTGAACCCTTACCTGGATGCGGGTTCATGAATTCCCATAACTGAGAAGCCTAATACTAAGACGAAACGCTGTCAAATGCCTTTTGGTTTTCAGAAGTAGTTCCTCTGAGACAAGTTCATGGTTCAGACTATGAACACTAATATATGTTTGCAATGAAAATTACTCTCGACATGTACCAAAATGTTCTTTAAAACATCACTTGATAATCGTACCAAGTCTATTCTCACTACTGAATAGTATGAATATGGATTTTCGAAAGTCTTAACATGAATCGACGACATAATATTTTGAAGAAATAGGGTACCAGAGAGTCATGTACTGATAATACAATATAACTGTTGCATCATATCATGAGATTCATTTTACAAAAGACTTTATACCATAAAAATCTCAATTCAATTCATCGATTGCAACAATTTCTTTGAGAAAATGGAAGCCTGCATATCGTCAGAGTACACAGCTTAGAAATTTATGACGAAAATAAAAACAAGTTTCTACTGCTTCTTGACGTCCAATAAATTCACTCTCTGATAACTTATAGACGTACAAAGTACCTTAAAAACATTTTCGGTGGATTTACAGTATTTATTACGTAGTTTAGAGTACTTAGTAATAACGGAGATGAAATAAATTCAAGTCCGGAAATCGTAGTTTTCGGAATAGCATTGGAAAGATGTCAACTGCTTTCAAACTAAATAGAAATAATCAATATCTGAAACAAAATTATATGAATGAAGAATATTCCTTTCAATGAATTTCTCATGAGCTTCTACAATTATCTCATATCCATATTACTAATCCATAAAATTGACCAGATTGAAGGCAGGGTACATCATTTGGAAATTGTAATATGTGAATCAAGGTTTGTTGTTTGCCATATATCAAATCAAATCAAATCGAGTCGTTCATGTTGGAGCTGACTTGAATCAGTTTATAAATGAAATGAAATTGTGGGATAAATAATGATCAGAATAAATATGGTCAACATGGGGTGAGAGAGAGAATATTATGAATTAGGTCAGATATAGTAGATAGGGATGGATGTTGAATAAATTTCTCAACAAGGTTATCAAGTGTAATAATAATAATAATAATAATAATAGTGGTAAAGATAGTAATAATAAGATAATAATATTATAAAATTGATTATTAACTAGTTGACCTCGACTTTGGCCATGGTAAAAGGAGCGACTAAACATATTTCTTTTGGATGCAAATCTCTGGCTTTTTGATCCGAATAGTAATTGCTTCAGCCGTCTGCAGGATTCTCTGTCTGACAGAATTAGGTAAACTGCTGTTAACACGATATATTATTGCGAAAGATTGCTCCATGTTGGCTGTATGTCCCGTCTGAATTAGATGGTCTAAAATGGAGCTGTTAACCGTTTTTAACTACATCTTTGCTTAACCACAGTGGGAGGTGCTCACGAGTCTAATTTCATTTAATGTCTTCTATTTATTCCATAAACGTATATCAGCAGCAACAACAACAAAAATACTCCTCAAACAATCTCTTTGTATTTTAGTAAAAATACAAACCATTTATATGAATACTTGCGAATTCACATAATTGTAACAATTAGGCAGAACTTCATTTATGTTGAAATTTATGCCCTGATAAATAAGAATATTCATTATTCCTGAACTATATGCATCTAATTAAAGATACTATCTATTTGTGACTTTATCATTGTAAAGATTAGTATTTAGTGAGATCTAAATACTCCTAATACATCAGGTCACATAAAGATTTAAAAATAGAATACAGTTTAAAAATGATCACAATAATCGCAATTTCATGGATTGGTTGAGATTAGACATTAACACCGTTGGATGCCGGCTCAGCGACCTCAAGGTTAAGCATTCGGGTGCGAGACCGAAGGCCCTGGGTTCGAATCCCGCGAGTGGGATCGTGGATGCGCATTGCTATGGAGTTCCATAGCCGTCCAGTGTTTTCAGGTTCTCAATGGTGATCTAAAATCAATCGGTTCATGATCTAAAATAAAAACTTAATAATCTTCACAACCCCATACTGATAATCATTAACTATATGTTTTCTATCACAGAAAAATATTTCACAGATAGTATGAAATAGTTTATGTTATAAGTTAGTTAAACAAACAGGAAATATATAAGGAAACAACCCTGTATTTAGCTTTTTAACATACAAGCTTTTACAATGAAAAGAAAAGAAACAAAACAAATCAACAATACATGATCACTTATAGAAGCAAATTGAATTTCATACATAATCATATGTTTTCTATTAAAGTGTGTGTATTTTATTCCCTCGTAAAACATAAAATGAATAATATATTATTGATAATTGCAGGTTAATAGAAGTTAAATAGAAAAGTTCAGTAAAATAACTGAACAACTGAATTCTAAGAAACATTTATACTACTTATATTAATTGGGTTTTTTTTCTAACCAGTCAGCTTTTCAATAACATCCTTTATTGGATCTGTACATTTAAGCCAACTACATTTTCCAGAACAACATTCTTGACTGGTCCAACAGAAGTATCCACCTGCAAGGCATAGATGACATTTACCAGTAAATAATGTATTTAGACCACAATATAATTGTTCACAACATGGAGAAAACACAGTTTTGGAACAATTTTGTCCTATTGTACGGCATTCACCTGAAAAGATATTTTTTTTAAAAAAACACAGACCATTTGACAATTAGGTATAAAAAGAATGAAATTAGATACAAAAGTTAGTCTGTTTAGTTTGAAAGAAGCATCATTGAACATACTTCAAGTGCTTTTATTATATGATTGTATAACTCTATACCTAAGTTTACCATAAAAATAACATTCCATAGTCTAGTCTAAAATATCTCAATTATATACCTACAGTTTGTTATACTTTGTTGTTTGAAGTTTTACTACGTATATAAAAGAATTAAACTGTAAATTCATTGAATAACACGAAATTTTATCCAAGAGGTTTCCACACAAATGTGGACTATATTCAACACCTTCATAATTAATCTTCTTTTATTTCTAACGATTTTCCGGTTGACATTAACCAATGTTAAAAAATTATTTCTTAATCATAGAAATCTATACAGAATTATACTTCAGTAAATATGAATGAACTAAGAGTGAAGAGATATAATCATTTCTTCTAACATACACGATAAGAAGTTTGTCAAAGAAGGTCTGTCATTTCAGGATTAAGAATGGATCCCTTGGATAGAAGAACAAGAGTAATTCTACTGAAAATAATCTTTTGATTATAACACAATAGAACGAAACGGCCGTCCAGTGCTTCCACGTTTTTCATGGTGGTCTAGCTTCAACTGACTCATGATCTCAACTATTGAAATTACAAATGCAAATACAAACTGATGATGTGAAATTTTCATGATCTCCTGAAACAGCCTAATACAATTTGTATATATTTTTTTAAAAAAAACCAATGTAAACGATGTCTTATTAGTAAACAATATGATTACTGGTAACTAAGTAAATTTTCATATTTTATCAGTATTGTTAGAAAATTACCAGATTTTATACATTTAAAATTTGCCATGGGTGCATTCATGCCGTTATCATCTGTAATGTCATTTGAACAGTTAGTAATTTGTACTTACATTGCTAATTAGGTTTATAAATTTAGAGTAACATTACTTTCTTTTACACTTCTACTAATCATCTCACTAATAAATACAGTTAAATGCTGAAATCCGTGAACTAAACATTTAAGACTATCCTAACATCTATGATATCGTTCAAAAGTATACTCATTTCATACAATAACCCAATGAATACAACAAATTTTAAAAGCATATTAACATTACACTTGAGAAATTATCGATTCACAACTAACATATAAAGAACTGTTTTGTAATAGTTGGTTCTTTTACACAATAAGGTGGTAAACTTATCCATCTAATTATTTTGCGTACAAAGACCATAGTGTCACGTTTACCAGGAAAGTTAAAACAGTGATTTAAGGAAGGGAAAGTACCTGTCAACTAGTTAATATTATTTAGTCAATAATAATTGTCTAAGCTTAAATTAATCACAGTAAACGTCAAGCCGCATAGATGAACATGCTGAAAATTTTGATTTGGATCTTGAATTTATCAATGCTAGACTACTGGCGAAAACCTGGAAACACTGGGCGTTCTAGTTTAGGACTCCTCAGCATTGCGTATCCACGATCCCGTATACGAGACTCGAATCCAGGATGCAACTGAAAATTCGAAAAATTAGCTCGATGTTAACGCCACCTCTCGACCTATCGTTTCTTACTTTTAGTTATGTATGTTCCACCATATATGAGAAATACTCATTGAAAAATATCATAGAATGCATGCTTATAACTTTATTTTTGTTTAAAATCTAGTCTAGAAATTAATCTATAAACGTTGTTATTTAGGCCATACTATGATTTCAGTGTTCTATTGCACATTCCTAATAAAACTCAGGAAAGTACTATTACCAATAGTAATTGAAGCATTTGTAGAAGTAATAAATTACATACATGTTAACTAAGCGGATTATATTTCAGTCAGATATCAGAAGAGACTTTCTCAACAGAACTGTTTGTCCATGTAAAATGTTCACATATGATGTCAGATGAAAAGATATTCTCTAAATCCGTCCAGTTGCAAATATTAATCTGTGACGAATACTACATTTGGACAAATTCCCACAAAACCCCCTCATTAACACTAAAGTCATATGTTCGCTGGTATGTTGCATAGTGATTAATTTATGAAATAGCGGTTACCTATGGGATTTATTGGCCAAAACACTATATCGAACTTGACTGAGGTGGGAAATGTGTATCGTTAAATGTCAACTTGGTGGCTAATTAGTCAAGTGCTCCACACGAGTCTTGTTGACTTACTGAGTTCTATCCCTGGAATGGTTGGGAGTGGTCACTTCTGTGAAGTCTACATTCAATAGATATATTCATTGCTATTTGGTTCTCAGTGGTCACTAGGTTAAATCAAAACCACCTACATATAAATGTATCTCCATCATAAATAATCAAAAAGCATTTGATTGTATCACTATGACTTACCTGATACAACATTGAAATGACTAAACATGACAATAATTACCATTAATATTACATGATAAAACTGCTTCATAATGATGGTTGAAAATGCAAACAGTTATGATATAATAGCAATAATAAGGAGAAATATAGTTGTTTAAATTTATATGTCATCCGCTACTAACGTCACATATGTATATATATACAAAACCAATGTGTCAGGAAATAAAAAATCCAATGTGTCACATGCACAGAATTCATTCCATAATTATTAATGAATATTCAACAATTAAGTTACATTCAATGTAGGGATGACTGTCAAAATACATTTGTAAACAACATAATAAAGATTTTACCGTTTATATGTATAATAATAATAATAATCAGTCATGCATTAAGAACTAAATGTTACTATGCTAAATAATAAATTTATCAAAGCCGAAGTTAGTTACCATAGAAAGAACATTATCTAAGAATCAGTATTCCTTATAACTCTATACATATATTGTGGTATGGGTTACTTATATCCTCATAAGTAGTATATAACGGTAGTCAGGCATGGGATGTATTTCAGTAGAAGATCGATAAGGAAAGAACGGAAACAGAACACAATTAGGATGAAAATACATGAACAATGAAATCCGAGACAAAGGACTGAAATTTGCAGAAGAAACAGTCAAGTTTGAGACTTGGATTGATATTTTGCAAATTAACGAGTTCCTATATGGTTCTCAGATTTTAGTGAGATGCTCTGTAATTGCGTGAGCAATACATTCGATTGTCCCCACTTGTGTTCTAATTTACTACAGAATGAATATAGATTTAAATATCGGTTACATCACAAGCTGTTACTAGTTGGCGAATCAATTAAAATCAGAGGAAAATTGTCGGTTGTTTCGTCTAAATTTGAGGATTACCACTGCTAATCCACGGATCTAATCCAAAACATTTAGGTCTTGTAACAAATATGACACTATTTAGTCATTGATTCAATATTCACTAGTTTAGATCAAAAATGTTAGTCTGTTGATTTATCATTTTGGAGTAATAACACCACTATTATTCCATTATTTAAATTATAAATTCAACAAATTATGCACAACAGTTACCCTCTTCATGTTCTTCTTTCAACTGGTTTTCTGTAAATAATCAAGCCAATATTCAAGTATAAGCTTTGAGTTTGGGGTTGTGGGGATTATTGAATTTCATCGAAATTATGAGACGATTAAAGTTACCCACCAAAAATCTTGGAAGATGGTCGCGTGACATCGTGGATATTTTGAAGTTAGACATTAGCACCATTAGATGACGGTTCAGTGGTCTGAAGGTTGAGCACTCGAGAGCGAGATTGAAGATCCAGAGTTTGGATCTCATGTTCAGAATAGCGTATGTGTATTACTAAAGATTCTTTTTCTAGAACAAAGCAGCCGTCTACTGTTTCCAGGTTGTCACTGATGGTTTAACATTGATCGGTTCACGATTTCAATGAAACATAAGTTTTGAATTTTAGCCTGTAAGCTAAACGTATTTATTTACTCTATATAAAAACTGGCTGAATGATACGTAAACAGATAACATTCTAGCTGGATGTTTAGTCATTTAACCGCTGTTTACCAGAGTTTTAGATTTTTTTAATACTAAGTATCATCAGAAAGTATACTGTTGTTTATCATGTACTGTAACTTCGTGGATTGGTTGAGGTTAGACATTAACACCATTGGATGCCGGCTCAGTGGTCCAGGAGGTTAAGCGTTCACGCGCGAGACTGAAGGCTCTGAGTTTGAATCCCGAGAGCGGGATCGTGGATGCGTACTGCTGAGGAGTCCCACGATAGGACGAAACGGCCATCCAGTGCTTCTAGGTTTTCAGTGGTGGTCTAACATCAATCGATTCATGATCTCAATCAAAAATTGATCAATTAATTAATGCAGTCAACACGATAAACATGATGCACCTAACAATCTTTCGTGATCATTATCACAAAACTGTGGATAATTCCCTAACGGATTTAGGTATAATTATTAGTATTTAATATGAATGAGATATATGTATAGTAGGCAGTAGGTCTAAAGATGAGTTCATTGATTCATTTTCATTACAAGTCATGAATTGAACCAATTAGCCATTTCTCAATGTTTACATTTAATATAATAATTGAATTCATGAGTCAATTGGAGCTAGACCACCATGGAAGACATAGAAGCATTGGACGGGCGTTTCATCCTAGTATGAGACTCCTCAGCAGTGCACATCCACGATCATTTAACATTATTTAAGTGTTATATTAATTAAGTAAAAATAAAAAAATCACGCATGTTTAAACAAATTTTCAATAAAGTTTATTAGACATTAAATGATCTGGATTCCTTCTCACTTTAAAAACTAAACGATATATTCCATATGGATAGAATACATGTCCGTGAGTTTTGCTTTCAATGTTTAATCTCTATGCGATATCAAGTATTTTCTGCTATTTTTCCATATATTTACTTAGTAATTATTACATATCAGAGCACAATTTTTACTAAGGATTATAAATGTTCTTTTTTATACAAGTTGGAATGTACAACAGTGGCTTGTTCGTAAAAGGCATATGTAGATAGCTCTAAATGATTTTAATGATATCCTGAATGGATTTAAAACTAAGAATTTGACGTCCTCTAGTTTAAAAATAAACAAAATAATGTATATTGGATGGTGGTTGAAGGTAGTCAACAGGAAACCTCGGACCTTGATTTCATGCTACTTGATACTCATCAGTAAGGTGTACCTATAATCTTGAGGGCACTGAATCTCCCTGACGGATTCGATCCCGTGTTACTCATCTCTACAGTCAGAGACATTACCGCTGAGCTATCCTGGCCGCGAATGACCTCCTGTAGGACTGATATATATTTATAATTGATTGATCACTGGGTGGTGATCAATGTCATGTATGTCAGGTCGTTCTTAGTGCAGATCGAATCCTATCAACCGAGTTACAATGTGGCTACAGGGCATTGATCACCACACAGTGATCAATCAATTGTAAAATAACGTTTATAATTTAATACTGTTTTAATCTAAGTTTATTTCGCTCGAATAACCTTAGTCTTTGAATTTTTAGGATAAACTTGTCGGCTAATTTTATTAAATAGATTCAGTAATGTGAAATGTAAAGATGTAGCTGATGTAATTAGTAGCTTCACTAAATTAGTTAAAATGATTAAAACACCAAAAGATCACCGGAGTCAAAAGTTGTTACAGTTCTAAAAAAAGCAACGAAAATCTTTGTGGCGATTGGTTAAATTCAAAAGAAGCTAATTTTTATATCATCAACCAATCATTTATAGCTGAATGAGATCTGAAGTTTTTCTAAGGAAGGGAAGCGATTAGTTTGTGTTCAACTAGCAGTTTGACAATGATTCAAATGAGATCTGAAGTTTCATAAAACTTGCTAAGGGAAAATATGACTGATCTAAACAGTGTTCTACAATTCCTTTTTAACGACTAAAATATCTTCATCTAAAAAAAAGAGTAAATACCCATGATTAAATATGAAATCAAATAATCACTAAAGAATGGTGAAAAATAAGCAAATAATGATGTCATGATACAAACCAGATGTTCCACTTTAGCTTGGATTATTAGCAGTGATAATATCAATAGATCTCTCTAATATACATTTAAAGTATTAAATACACAAACAACTTGAATGAATTATTGTGTATATCACAATGAACTAATAAATGTAGTGAGAGAGCAACGTTTAAAAACCCGTGAAGATAGTATAACTTGTTAGATTAACAACTTATGTGTTTATGTGACAAAGTAAATAGTTGCACTGGGTTATATGTCGCTTAATATAAATTAAGAAATAAATTTATATCAAGACAACTTTCAAAGACATTCTTATTAGTTGAAATTTTAGGATTCGTAGAACTAGGAACAGCCTCTTCGAACAGGTGGTATTTTGATAAAAGCTTCTCAGTAGTTTATATTCAATGCAAGTGCCTTCTAGTGATGAATTACATTTATTCATTCACCGTGATCTTAGCCAGACCACCAATGAAATCGTGTAGACACAGGATCACCGTTTCGACCAAATACGGGTGTTCGACCATGTCGGGTGTGAGACAGTTATATACTATACTTAAAGGAAGATGTTCGTACACCTTGCTCACGAATGTCAAAAAACACGAAACCTGTCAACTATCCTAAACCACCATCTTACAGCATCATGAGTTGATTGAGGTTATATATCTGCACCACTGAATTCCGACTCAATGGTCTACAGTTCAAGCGTTTGGACTAGAGACCGAAGTTCCCTTGTTCGATTTCCGGCTGTGGAGTCCTGGGTATACACTACTAAGGAGACCTAAATATTGGTTCAGTGCTCTCTAGTCTCCAATGGTAATCTAGCTAAGATCAGTTAGTGATTTAAAATATGAATGTTCTACATTCTCTACATATCCGAATGTACAAATAACATATGTTGAAATACTATGAATGTAGTGGTAATGTAACATAGAATGAAAATATTTTCACATAAATTATAACAACACATACTTCACTCATTTGTTTAACAGTTTACATTGTCTATCACATTTTCACGTGATAAACCAACTTTGGGAAAAAAATGTTTACATATTTTATATAAAATAGTTTATGTGTACAATATTCGTTCAATCAACAAAATAAATTCACTAAATATCAAGTATAAAGTGATATATGATTGTTCCGTGACGTGAAAATAATTCAACAACTAATGATCATGTAAACATATAACGTACAAGGCTGAAACCATTGATTGCTGTCTGTCAACTAGATGGTTAATTTATTTATCGTGAAGTTTATGTAAAACACAGTTTTATGATATCTTTCTATTTTTTAAATTAACAAGTAGGTTAAGCGTTCGCGAGCGAGACTGAAGGCCCTGGGCTCAAATCCCACGAGTGCGATAGTGGATACGCACTGCTGAGGAGTCCCACAACAGGACGAAGCGGCCGTTCAGTGCCTACAGGTTTTCAATGGTGGTCTAACATCAATCGGTTCAAGATCTCAATCAATAAATTGACAACAGACTAAAGGAAGCTAAGGTGGATAAATAATTGGCATTTTAAAGCGTTGAACAATTTAATACGTGTTCGATTTCCCTGACAATACAAAGAAATTACTGATTAGACCAAACATTGATAAAGCATGTCAAATCTGTCTGTCAGGTAGTTGTTGACGTCGGACTGTGAGACTAAACAAAGCTTAGTAAATTTCTGAGTGATAACAAATTTCAGTCGATTAACCCTAAGTGAAAATCAGAAACTCACATGTTACAATGTGATACAGAACCTCACATAATTAAGATTATCAAGCACAAAATTATTCATACTAATTTGTATTAAGATAGATATTGAAAAAGTCAAACTATCAAGATGATAAGGATTTAGTAAAGAAAGTAAATTAAGTAAAGGTAGTAATGTGGCTCAATGGTTTAAATTTAAAACGCTCACCGCTAACTGGATCAGTACAGTTGTTATGTTTACTGAAATTGAAGAGCTGAATAATCGAACGAAACAACTGTCTGTTGGTCTCCGGTTTTTATCAGTTTTTTAGTTGATATTACTCTGTAAGAAAAACCAACTTTGCTTATAAATCTATCACAACATGTCTATATCAGACTGAGTGAATAGTTTTACCAACTGTCGAAAATTTCGAAATCCTTAGATCTGTTTATGACAACTCACCTTTCGCTTGTACATTTCATTTATAATGTAAACAACTCCATACACTAAATTATGTCGTTTTATCATTGTCCGTTTTGCATTAATCCAAACTAATTCATGCTTATAAGCAAAAATGAATAGTGGCTAGCAGTGGAATCCAGAACGCGCGTTCCGTCCTATTTGGGACCCATCATCCTTAAGGCTATGTCGAGGCGATCCGCGCAGGATGCATATATGCCAACATGAGACTGATCAATTGCAGTCCTAAATAACAATGGGAAGATACAGATAAAACAACGCCAAGTGAATTTAATTCATACCTAGTTTATTAAAAAATCAAATCCAATCTTACTTATAATAGTAACCCATGAAACATTGCAATCTGAATAGACCAATAAATTCAGATGTTCTGTGAAAGACTAAGAAAAGTTTCCCAGATAGATGTGTTCTAAACAAATCGAAAGTTAGCTGTGTAAGTTTACTCACTCTCATTTACTCACTTTAATTGCTAACATTTAATGGAATTATGTGTTTTAGACTGACTGATTCATAACCACAGTGGCTAAATCATTTTTTGGCATTTTCTATTGTTTATACTTTAGCTTACTAACGAATATCTAACTTAATAATACGTTTTTTAATTGGAACTGAGAACAATTTCAGTAAGTATCTCAATACATTTGTTACCGATGATTACTTATAATAAAATAATGATATGTATTTGTCATTTAAACACACTGTGGTCTTGTAACTGATATCAAAGAATGACCTTTTTGGGGAACCAAATAAAAAAGTAGCAATCACTAGACAGTTGTTCTATCTGAGTACATGGCTCCTCAGTAGTATGAATTTGTGACTCAAAAGGGGATTGAATCCAGGGTTTCTAAATTTCTCAGTGAGCACTTGACTTCTGAACGATTAAGCCTATATCCAACAGTTTACATATCTAACTTCAGTCGATTCATGATATTATGCAACCAACCTCAAATATTATTGGTGGGTAATGTATAAATGTACTTCTCCTTAATATTCCCTAGTTTTTATGGTATCCCAACTGAGATCAATATAGTATGAAGAGAACAACTTACAGAATACTATTGATCATTGTAATCATTCAAATAATTTCATTGGTTCAAATAGTGAATTTGTATACTATACATTTCAAAACTAACTTATTAGACAATAATCCAAATATTTATCAACATTTATTTTCACTGTCCAATTATTCTTTGTTATAATCGCATTGACCATGTAATATATATATAAAGACAGTAATAGCAAACACTCGTAAATCATTTACTCTCAACATCCATTATGTTGTATTCACAGATAGCATTATCAATTAGCCTTGTAGTAATCTGGAACATTCTATCAACAAAAGGTAAGATTTGTTTTTTGCATGACACCTGAAATATTGACACTTTAACTGTTTAAATTGATATGAAAGTGTTATCAAATCTGTTGATAGCCCCACTAATTACAAATGATAAACATTTCAATATGGTGAAAATTCCCATTTTAATATACAGTGAAAACAAAACAGATACAGCTCTATTTGTTCTTTCTAGACAATTGTTGCTAAAAAAGATTCTAAAACACAACAGGCTTACTTGGATAATGAAGATCAAACAACTAATGCGATTCTCATATTTCCGAATTATATCAAAACATTGATTGATTAATAGATCTTAGATACCATAGTTGTTGACTTTGTAAACATTTCTTGTATAAAGTTCATTATCTCTTAATCATACATAACTTCAGTCAGTTGAAATCTGTTTGTAAGAATTAAATTGTTCATCAACTAAAGGTAGGTTTCAAACTGTTACCTCATTAGCAATCACAGTGAACTAAGTTTTACTAAATGACCGATACTTGTTTAGTGAAGGTAATGTAATGGAAAGGATTTGTGGAAAAGCAGTGGAGAACAGCATTTAGTATTAAAGTATGGAAAGAATTATTACTGAAAACATCTGCTTGTAATAAAGCCTATAAACGAGAAATGATGAACTGTGTCATGATTTTAAAGTATGTAACAGCAGTTTAACAGTTTATGAAATTGTTTTTACTCGAGTGTCTGAACTAGTTGCTACCTATGTCTGGTTACCTTTATTGAGTACAAGTTTTTAGATGAAAAAGAGTTACGTTGAATCGAGTGTTATCAGACGAGAATATTCGGTAGATAAATGAAGTAACTAAATGTGCCTATAATCCATCTGAGAAGCTGTTTGCTTTTCGCGCTAATGTCGATAATTTAATAAAAATTACTAATTATGTACTCCATGCGTTTAAAATTAATCGTTATTTTACAGATACATCTATCCTGTTCGAATCCTAAAGAATGATCATTATGTGATTGACTTTTCTTTTTTATTGTTGCACCTTATACAAATGATTCGGTTTAAAGCAATGTACTATCCTATCAACTGATCATTAATGATTGAAGCAAGAGTTGAAATCAAATTGCCAATAAGTGGAGTACTAAGACTCATACTCATCTCCGGGAATTTCAAGGTTATGGAATGACTTCTTCGGACTTATATCCATGGAAATAAAGAGAAACCTCTAAAACCATAAGATCCTGAACAATCTGGTCTTGTACTAATTAGCACTAGATATTTCAACTACTTGAAATTAACTAGCGTTACAATTATGAAAATCGTCATCGGACCTCTTTAAGATCTGGAACTTCACTTATCTTTTCGTAGATGAATAAGAAAAAAACTCACAGTTTGAGTATAGATTCAGTTTAAAATCCACCAATTTTCAAAAACACGTGCTTTCATAGAAATAGTAGAACCAAACTGTTTAATTCCAAGTGATTAGTAGTAGTTGATAGAAATTTAGGTATATATTCAGGAAACTGTTAACCTCTGTCGGATTTGAATCCAGATCACTTTGTGTCTCAATCACAGATGTTAATATTAAGATATATCTATTGTAAGTGATCTTTCATGGTACTAAGTTATTTGAATTAATCTATCCTTTTGTAGTAACCAATTTCATGTTATATTCTCCTAAGTGATCAATGAACTCTATCAATCAATTAGTGAGCTAACTGAATCGATACTTAATTAAAACCGAAATAAAAACAAAATTATTAATTATAAAAGTAAAAAGGAACGATGTTTCTTATCAACATTCATGCGGAAACCCTACCTAATTAAATTGACAATATATTACAAAAGCATGTCATTTAGTCTCTAGCTTAAAATGAAACATTTATCACGGACTTATTATCTTCATTTTGGTAGAAAAAACCTCACACTCCATCTTAAATGAAGTAATATGAATCTACTTTAGTGGGGCCCTTTATTTTGTCGTCATTTAGATCGGACAATGTTTGTTGACGGGATCTCCACTTTAGTGGCCCGAGTTCTGACTCCAAGTAGATCGTATGAACGATTGTTATTGAATGATTCCTATCGAATGTATAGGTCGCCTATCCTCGTATATAATCATCGACTTAATTCGCGTTAGTCAGTAACGGAATTAAATAAGTCAAATAACGAAAATGGAGTTTTGAATACATATATTTTGTATATGAAGCGAATAGAATAGAGAGAAGCAAAACGACGCGCAATGGTGATGGCTCGTAAGCCAACTCCCATTTAATTAAACGTTAACCAATAGTTATAGTTACACAAAAATAAGTAACAGAAATGTGATAAGTAATGTGATGAGAAGTGTAAACACACACACATACGCTCATATAAAAACAGTCAAAATTGATAGGGCGGCCTGCTTGATCATCTGGGCTACCTCTTCCTGCCATCTAGATATTCAAACAAGTTATCTATTTTTGTTTGTTTTAATATATCATTATGTTTATTAATCGCATAACCTATTGTGCTGCGTTTCTGAAAAGTGTACAACCTTTCGTTGTCAAAGTTACAAAAAACTCAATAAGAGACAATGTGGTTGCTGGCAATATACAACGAGAAGAATGCACATTATTCAGATGTGCATTTACTGAACTACTAACATCTAGCTGGCGATCACTCAATATTTATCGCCAGGACCGACCAAGAAGAAAGAAACGGAAACTTGTTGAAATACTTTGCACTGAGAATTCTATATTGTACCAAAAATATAATATTGAATAAAGCTGATAATAATAATAACAAGGTCAAAATATGACTCAAGTAGAAGTAGTAGACTGGCCTGTCCGAAAGCTAGAATAAAGTATATGGGCTTAAGATAATAACCGACACTACAATACACAATTTGGTAAGTTGAACGAGCTCTTATACACAAAGTTTTTTTATTTTATCAACCACAAACTTCTTTAATTTCCCTATCCTTGAATATAAATTTTTGTAGGTGACTGTATTCCATTGAATGGCGTTTGTACAAAAACTATATTTGCTCCATGCTGTAATAATACAGTATGTAAATTGTCTGGGCCATTCTCTGGTAAATGTGTGGAATGCCTTAAACCATTTTCATGGTGTTGGAATGGTGATGAATGTTGTTCAAAACAATGCAGTTGGTTCAGATGTTTGAGTACTGTTGAACAATAAATTAAACATAATTCATTTTCTCTTGTCATTTTGTTTATTGTAATGATGATGACTTACTATCTAATGATTTATTTTATTTAATAAAATGTATACTTTAACATTAATGACTATCCTTTTTTGATAGATGTAATAAGTAATATTCTCCATAAACGTTGATAATTAGGTCATCTAATTTGTTAATGTTCTTCATATTATGAAAGATAGAAAAATGGCATTCTTATTTCTTAACTTAGATATCATTCATCGGAAGGCATTCGACATAACGACTAAAATATGAGTTCCGTTCTAGTTTGTACCTACCAAAAATAATGGTGTACAAACTTGAGGAAGTTTGTTCTCTCGGTGGAATTTTGACAAGCTGGTACAAAAATTAATAGAAAGTCATATGATACATATAAAAAGTCGCTTTATTACAGAAAAAAATTACGTGATAAATTCCATCCTACTGAACTGAATTTTGTGGATGTTACATCCCTCAACTCAACCACGAATAACGAGTTGTGATTAGAGGATATCAGATGTCACCACCTATAACAATCGACACTTACGAATATAAATTCAATGTGAGTGAAAGTGTAAATATTAGGTAGAGAAAACCTACATGTTACATTCGACGAGTTCAGTATTAGGTTAAACGTGCAGCATATCGGCATATCTTCACAGTTTATTCTGTATAACATACTCATAAATATTAGACCATTAAATTACTCAATGGAATCTGACTAAAAGTATTAGATTTCATCCGTTATAAGGAAAAATTTCTGACTTTTTCAGATATTTATGTTGAGAACTAAAATGGCAATAAAATTCCACCTAAGTAATGACTTAATTCGGTGAGCCCAACTAGTCACTCCACCTTGGCTCCTGACCTAAGTCAGGCTTGCGATGACCAAAGCAAGATTAATTTGTTAGAATAGTTTTTACCTGCTGTCCTAAAAGGCCACATAGATCGTCTAAAGAGCCATAGAACTAAAAGCCTTTAATGTAACACTTGGAAGTAAAGTTGTATTTCTAACTAAATCAAAATATGGCAGCAGTAGTGTTTGCCTCAAATAACTAGCATTTCAGAGTTTATTTTCTAAGGCAGAATAATGGATCATAAACAATCAACTTTAAAGTCAGCACATTTTTGTTGTATGACATATGAGTGATGATTTAAAAGTCACCTTTATCACTAGAAACCCAAAGAATCTCTATCTACACAGCCAAATGGAAATTATCTACAAAATAAATGATGATGAACAGTACATATCTAGGCTTTTATCTAATCTTCAACTTCCTTGTCAACACAAATGAATCCGATATTTTAACTCTTCCATTCTTCAAATAATTATCATTATCATATGTTCTCGTCTAAAAATATTTTACGTTACATAATGAGATTGTCTTAATATTATAGAATTACCACCTTAAGCAATAATAAAAAAAGCCCCTTTAAAACTCTAGTTCCTAAGTTTCTTTCACACTATATACAACATAGTCCTGATTGATTGATAATTTATTTCTCAATAATATCCAAATATTATCGAAATAACGAATTAAGTTAGACAAATACCGCGAAAACCATGAGTCACTCGATGGCCATTTCGTAGTAGCATGGGATTCCTCATCAGAAGTGCAGATCCACAATTCCGCAACCGAGAATCCAATCCAAGACCTTCAATCTCATGACTTTAATAAAATCCAATAATCTCCACAATCCCATATTGACAACATACTATTAATTGGAAATAATTAAATATAATAACTTGTGTGTAATTGGACAGAAATAAATGAAACATTAGCTCTTGATTTATTTAAATTTATTAGACAAGAAGATAATGAACTGCTTTCGATAACATGCTTCTTTATCATAATTCCACTTCATCACGAAGCATCTTTATTATAAAAAAAGGATTATGATTCCAGATAATATTCTATTTCATATAAACTGATTGTGACATTCCATCTTGACGTTAAGGATTAGATGATATGATATTAGTTATTATGACGTAGTCAGATAATATGATGAGTCACAGAGCATGGCATCGCCACTGACTGATACTAAGTTATGCTCATACGGAAATCACAATTCGTATATGGCGAATGTCTACTGTCGCGAAACCTAAGTCTAACACTGCTTTATGAGTCGGTGAAACCACCTAATGTAGAAAACGTGGTTAAAACAAATAGCCTTAGTATCGCTTGATAATTTGTACTACTTTTCTTATGACTGGTAACTATTAAAACTTGTTTAACCAAGTTTGTAGCTACAGGTTATGAATATTCACAAACTGACATTCATTTTTCACAAAGAAGTTGAATGTTTAGCATTATATTATTTGAACTATTATCACTTTGTTTAAGGTTAATCATGATACTTGTATTTATTAACCTATTTTGAGTTCGAATTCCATTAGTTCGTCAAGTGTTTTAGTTAGTATATGGGTTCACAACTGAATAACTCCAATAATTCAATTGTATGAGAACTAAGTTACGAAACTAATTTACAAACTTCTTTATGAAAAACTCAACTATTTTATATGTAGTTGTACACAACTGGCTTTTATTACTTTCGTAACTATATAGTAGTCGACAAATTTTTTTACATCAAATGTCTTACATTTTTTTACAAACCAAGCGAAAACGATTGTAACGGGAATGTATTTTTTCATCTTATTGAACTGTCCCGTATTCAAATAAAATTACTTTCATTTCTTTGAACTATACTAGAGGGACTTTTCTCATTCAAATAGAGCGAAATGTGCCCCCATATTGTAATGTTGTTAAGTTACTGAATAATAGAATAGTATATCGCTACCATTGTGTTTGTAGAAATAGAAAGTTTTCAATATGGTAAGTTACATGTCTATATAAATTATATAAAAGTGTACTACATTTCCTTAACATATAGGACTATATAATTCCAACTTATCAATACATATACCCAAGTCTTTAAAAACATTTTCATATTGTATAAGAAATAAATTATAACAAAAAAATATTATGATCAACCACAGTTGTTTCTTAATTTTATTAACCTTAACATGGTATTGGAAATTAGATGCTTTTACAGGTAAGTGATGCTTATATTCTTGTTGTTCCATGACTGATCATTATCGTTCGATGCAACATCCAAGTACGAGATGGTGGAGAAGATTTGTAGCTTAGGTGAATGATTTTGATGAAGTTTTGTTCTCTGAGCTGGATGGTTTGGTCGTGGAGCTTTTATCGTCTTCTAACCACAAAAATAAAATTACACATGTTTAGTCGTGGAGCTTTTATCGTTCTTCCGAACGACATCATCATATTTAAGAAATGTTCTTTGTCAACTTTCAAGAAAATTACACTCTGAGAATATGATATGTTTCTGAATGCAGTTTATTCTGTTTTTATAACATCATCAGATGACACATTTCACAGATTAATTGTGTCCAGTAAACTTTTTTACTTGCTTTATACAGAATAATAAATGGGTTTGTATCACCCTACTGAATCCCCTATTTAAAAGGTTTGACTGGTTTACCTATATAAACCTTTAATAAATGATTGTATTCAGGAAACATTTTTAACGTTCTAAAGTGTAAGTGATTAGAATAATAGTTTGTAACTAATCATTACTGTTTTTATATAAATTAAATATAGCTTATATTCTCTGCTCTAAATATTTTACACTAGGAAATTGAGTACGAATAGTTTCTTAACTTCAACTTACTTAATTACGTTTGTTACCTTTCATGGAAGAGCATAGGCCACCCACTAGCATTCTCCATCGAACTCTGTTCTGAGTAGTCTTTTCTAGTTATTTCCAGTTGCTATTCATTCTCTTAAGGTGTGATTCTGATTCCCGACGCAATGTGTTCCTTGATCTTCCTCTTTTCAGTTTTCATTCAGAATTCAAAATTAGCGCTTGCCTCGTGATGCAGTTTGATGGTTTCCGCAACGTAATTATCATTCACCCCCAACGCCTATTCCTAATTTGCTCTTTAGCTCAAAGCTGGTTTTTCCTCTGCTATAGTAGGTTGTTGCTGTTGGTATCCGACTAAAGGACATTGAGCATCTTACGTAGACAATTGTTTATAAATACTTGTACCTTTTGATGATGGCCGTAGTAGTCCTCCAAGCTTTAGCTCTGTATAGTAGAAGTGTTTTGACGTTCTTATTAAAAATTGTGACTTTGATATTGGTTGACGGTTGTTTTGAGTTGCATTTGATCTTCAGTTGTAGGAACGCGTTCCTTGGTTTGCCAATCCTTGCCTTTACGTCTGCATCAGATCCTCCACGTTCATCGGTGATCCCTCCTAGGTACGTGAAAGACTCCACATCTTCCGAAGTTCCTCCATAAAATGTGGTTGGGTTCGCGTCCTCTAAGTTGTAGTTGACGATTTCGCTATTCTTTTGTATATGTTGAGATGTACCGCTGCAGAGGCTTCTGCTACACTGGCTGCTTCTACCTGCACGTTTTTATATGTATGGGACAGGAGATCTAGGTCATCTGTGAAGTCCAAATCGTCTGGTTGCATCTGAACTGTCCACTGTATTTCATGCTTCCTTTGAGATGTGAAAGTCTTCTTAATCCAATCGATCACCAGAAGAAGGATACCTTCAAGTTAGACGAACTAAAAAATAAGCGCATAAACACCAAACTTATTTAATTATTTACACATATTGGTCGCTTATTAGTAATCAATATCATCTAGTTTTGTCTGCTACTGATGTTTAAAATCAATCGAGTTAGGTTGCTACATGACCACCAGCCTTAGTGACTTGAAATTTCAAAACACTATATTTTACTTTATGTGATTTTAAGGAATCTGTATTAAGCCAAACATCTTGTATTAGTTGGTAGTCTACAAGGTGTAATTTCAATCTTGAGGGAATTTTCGCTTTCATAAAGATTTAAATTCACATCTTTTAACTTAGTGATGTTGTTACCAAGATAATTCAGTTACAAGTGATCTGTTATTTTAACTAGTTCGTTAAAAGTGATCGATCACTAAGCAACAGTTTTCCAACCATTTATTATATTTCATCTGTATTCCTTATTACAGTAACCTTAGCAACATCTAATATACATGATAAATACCGTTATTCATTTGAAACTCGAAGGAGATAATTAGTCATTTATGAACATTTTCACGCGTTCTAACTGTGTAACTAAGTTATTTGAATCATAAATTTTGTAAATAAAACGAATATCGACTATTGGTAAGTGTGTATTTTCAATGTACTTCAATATCCAAATGCTTCATTAAACTAACTTCTAGCATAATACTAAGGATGGCTATGGTTACACAAACTGGTAACTTAGTTCATGTGGAAATGTTTGTCAAGCCTAGTAAATGAGATATTATGAAAACTACAAAACAAATATAGAAAAGTACATCAGTATTACAGAGCTGCTACAATTTAACCTCAACCGATTTGTGTTACAATGTGTGTTGATATGTAATTTGCTCTTTAAAGTTTATACCAGGAATAAAATGGAAAATTGTTTAGTGAAATCAAGAAATCTCATTTTAGTCTATGTAGAATAATGATGCTACAAGCCAGTGAATTACTAGCCATGCTTAACTCCCTTTTATTAGTTTGACAAGGAAACGAGTCAGGAAGTAAGCTTATTAATATCAAAATATCAAGGATGTACTATTCAGTTTTACTCTTGTTTTTCTCAACACAAGATTAAACAATTCAGGAATTTTTATGCTCAACCTAAAAAATGATTACGATTAACTATTAACTTTCCTGTTAACTGAAGGTTTATTAATTGTCTGTATTAATCTTAAAGAGGATTATATCAAAGGAATAAATTATGTAATTTATTTCTGAACATCATCATTTGTAACTCAGAACCTATCGGTCCTCGTGTGCGAACGCTTTACCTCTAGACCACTGGGGTCCTAAGTTCGAATCCTTCGGGGTGGGATCATGAATGAGTCTTGCTGATGAGTCACACACTGAGACAAAAGGGCCATCTAGTGCTTCTAGGTATTCCATGATGATCTAGCTTTAATTGACTCATGAATTAAACTATTAAATTACTAAAATCTCCACAAAACCCCTCTGTGATAATTATCATTTACATTAAAACTCTGTTTTATTAAACTATGGAATTTCATAAAAAATGGACAATAAAGTATCACCATAATTTTCAACTTCAAAATAGATGTAAGACTAATAAAATACTTCATTTTATAAAACTTTAAGATGAACAATGTATTTACCTAACCATCAGTTCTCTTAGATTTTGTATTTTATCCTTGTTGTGAATTAATATTGAATGAATAAGTATCTAATGGCATATCATTTCACCAAAACAAATAACCTAACGAATTACTCCAACGTTTGAAGCATTGGAAACTGAGTTAGAGCTTTATTATAAATATAAACATGGTTATAGGAACATTTATCTGACAAGTCTGATGAGAGAGAATCACATTGACCACGTCCAGAAACAACTTATTTTTCCATTAGCACAAAATGTATTTAAATCAAATGTTTCATAGCTTAGATTCGTTATACTTCTTATACTGTTATGAATGGTAGAGTTTCCAAGTATATTTACACAGCCATAACTAATCCCTATTGCATTTATGTGAAGTATATCAGAATAATAAACATTAGTAATATAACACTTATTACCTGGTATATTATCAGGAATCAGTGATAACTATACAGTTGTTTATACCTAGTTTGAAACTTTTTAGAAGTCTACACAAAACAGAACTATAGAAATTCAATTTCAGGAAAGAACACGATTTATTTGTATTTCTGGTTCTAAATGTAATAGTTCATATGTTTAATCTCATTCAACTTGTTGTCTGAAAGTGAGTTATATCATTAGTAAGCTATAACCTCACTGCTAAGTTTTTGATGACCCATAAACTGAAGTGAAACTATTGATGAATGCCCCTATGACTTACACAACATCTACATCTAATGTTAATCTGTAATTAACATTAATTTTAAAATGAAGAAAGCCTTCGAAAAACTCATAATTTAATGGATTTATCAGACAAATTGCAATTAAACATTGATATTGATTATTTACGTTCTCTTTTTTCTTCATAGGTCGTTGTAAACCTGAAGGAGAAAATTGTACCAAAACAATATTTTCACCATGTTGTGCAAATTCCACATGTCAACTACATGGATTATTTAAAGGAGTTTGTGTTAAATGTTTACCTGAGAAACATTTGTGCTTATCCAGTAGTGAATGTTGTACAAAATTATGTAGTTGGTTTCGATGTATAATGACAAATTAGATATAAACTGATTCATTCATTCACAATTGATGAATATTCTTATACAAGTAAATTGACTAGTAATCTACCAAAAAATATAAGTTCAAATGTTCTTAAAACTTGTTTAACCACAATGAGTTCATTTATGGTTATATGACACTTAAAAACACACTGTAATAATAATAATAAATGTTTAAGTAAAAATGCATAACTACTGAGAGATCCAAGAATAGGACTGAATCTTAAATTGTCTTCCTCTTTCAAGATTATATCTAGAGCATTAGCTTCAAACATATAATAGTAAAACATTGTGAATGTGTTATCGCCTCACTTCGACAAGTGACTAAATCATAACTTGATCAATATAACTACTCAGTAAGTACTAAAGAATAGATAAACATGACAATGCTTATTATGCAGTCACTAATCAACATGAATATCAACCGATGATTTTGTATAGGCTTAACTTTCAATGTAATATTGACTGTTATTTTAAAAACAGCCTTGACATCTGAAATATTAAACTAATTCCAGATGAGAGAAAACTTTCACTGTTTTTTTTGCAACTCATTGTAGCTAATTTCCTGACATTAATTAAAACTCTTTTGACTTGTCTGTACCAGTCTTGTGATAAATGATTCATAATCAACAGTAAACGATCAAATTTCTATTTCTCGTCGATAATCATAGACTTAACAATATAACTGCCTTTAAGTAAAATATCACATGGGACATATGTTTAGGTTGGCTAGTCTTCGAACTCTTACTTCTACGAATTGGAAAGATCACAGCTAAATTGATTGAAAGCCGATCACAGACCTCAGTAAGTAGATTCTATTATAAATTCTATCCAAGTAAACTTATTAATTGTTAAAAGTAAATCTCTTAATATCTGTTCATTTCAAAAGGTTTACCATGAACAGAATATCTTGAACAAGCTTCAACTTTACTTATTTTAAGGTGAAATAGATTTTTCTCAATCTAAAATGATGATCATTCTATCTCCGTATATTGTCTTTTATTAATATTGATGGGAATGACAAAATACGTACGCCTCAAAAGCAAGAAACTTCACACCATTTCTTATCTATAACCTGTTCCTTTTAGTTTTATATTTTCTATACTAAAACAACATACATAAGCGAACAATAGTGTTCTCAATTAGATCGTTATCAGGCTTTAACGGAATATACATGAATATTTACGCGAGAATACTGAACCAATAAAGGCAATTTATGAACCAAATATCACAATGAAATACACGGCATGAGCAAACATAATAATCAGTCTCGGGTTGTGGAGATTGAGTTTGATTGTAATCATGGACCGATCAATGTTGAACCAACATTGAAAAATTGAAAGCATCAGATGGTCATTTTAACTTAGTATGGGACTCTTCAGCAGTGCACATCCACGATCTTGTAGACGAGACTTGAACCCCAAATCTTTGGTCTCTCGAGAACGCTTAACCTTCAGACCACTAAGCCAGCATCCAATAGTGTTAATTTCCAACTCCTATCACTACACGACATTTCACGACTATCCTCGATTGTCTTTAGTGAGTAGGAAGTTGGTTCATGATTTCGATTAAATAATTAGATGATAAATAATATGAATGAAAAGAAATGAAAAGTGATAAACAAATACAGAATGTGAAAAAATTGTGAAATCATTTAATAAGTCATATAGTAGCAAGGAAAGGACAGGGGCTTTACAAATTTCTTCGGAACACATGAACGAAGGTTATAGATTTGGATACCTCTAGCTTCTGATACACGTAGGAGACGGGACCAAACCCTATTTGGAAATCACAACAGTATACGATAAATCACTGGGAATGATTTGGTTTTATCTACCATATGACCACTGTCAACCAGTGGTGCGAATTATCGTTCATTACATTCTAGTATTACGTTCGATATAGTACAATTAAAAGCTTTATCGCTTGGTACTAAATTTTGTGACTATGGAAATAGAATAAATCAACTAGATACCGACATGCAATTTTAGAATTTATTTTCGTAGGCAACAGATATAGTACCGACCTTACTCTAAGAACTTACAAGATTTAAGACCACATTAGTTAGCATCTCCAAGCAACATCGAAATAGTCAACATACCATGAATCTTCCACTTACCAAATCATATCGAGATGCTCTATATAAGCTTAGAAAAAATAAAACCAATCATTTATAATTCTTCATATCATGAAGCTGAGGAGTGATTAGTTCGAAACCTGGATCCCCTACACAGATAAGTCTTTAACTGAATTTTTAAGCGTTTTTGATTCCATTTCCAAAGTGAAACATAATAATTTAAGTGAGAAACGAATGGTTTCTTTGGATAGTGCTTCCTAATTTACTATTAGCTGAGACAATTGATTATGTCATGAGTCAATTGAAACTAGACCACCATGGAAAACCTGGAAGCACCGGATGGCCGTTTCGTCCTAGTAGTGGTCTAGCTTCAATTGACTCATGATTTCAACCAGTGAAATTTCTAAAAATCTCCACAAAACCCGTCCTGATAATTGATTATATGTCAGCAACTAATTAAAAAACATATCAATACTGGAATTTCCGAGTTTAGTCTCAAATGATTATGTTTGAGTTGTAAACTGAACGTTCATTTTGTCTTTAATACCACTTATTCTCGACAAATAAATGGAATACATATGGGTTCATCTCTAGCTCCTACCCTTGCTGACTTTTTACTCCTACAAGTAGAAAACGAACTTCTCAAGGAGGCTATTATTAAGATTAAATTTTGCTACCGTTACATCGATGATACATTAACTATCTTTGATCAAAATATTGGGAAAATGAAGCTCTTAGAGAAATTTAACAATACACATCCAGCGATCAGACTTACATGTGAAGAGAAACTTGGTAACAAATTACATTTCCTTAACGTTTTGTCAAAAGGAAAAGATAAAGATTCTGTCAGTAGAAGTGTGCATAGTAAAAGTTCTTCGACAAGCCAGTTCACATAATTCATATGTTTTGTGCCCTTCTCTTACAAGAGAAACCTATTTAGATGATGTCGTGCAAGTAGAGCTAGAAAGATATGCTCAGATGACGCCAAAACAAGGAACAAGAGCTCACTTATAATATTTTGAAATTGGATTATCCACAAGGTTTTCTGAATAAACATACACACTGAATAGGAAATGAGTAGTATTGGCTGACTAAAGTAATAAAGAGGACTTTTTAATGTAGCCAACCTATGTCTATCATTTTATAGCTGATCTACGGTGGTTATTTACCATATTCTTTCTTCGTTTGTCTTTCCTCACCTCTTTTTCAAATATAAACTTCAATGTATAAATTATCTGAACACTATTTACTTACTTGCTTACGCTTGTTACCCCTTCTGGAGATTAGTTTAATATTTTCATATATACTTGTATATATTTATACATATTACAGTAATGCCTAATCATTATCTAACCGAAAACAATATTGTTTACTTATAAATTCTGATCTAATTTACATTATTTATTGTCTGATAAGGGATACTATTCAAATAGTTTCTATGCAAATAACAATTGTTATTCCATAAGCAGGTTAATCCAATAGTCGATTCTATCAATAATAATAATAATAATAATAATAATAATAATAATAATAATAATACATCAGATATGCAGTACAGAATGGATTAGCGAAGAATTCACATTCCTCAAGAAAATCTTGACCAAAAATGGTTACCCAGAACGTTTCATAGAAAAGAATATGAATAGAAGTAGTTGCGACAAGAAATCTAGTTGTTCCGTCCCGAAGAAAAAGCTTTATATAAGTCTGAAATTTAAAGGTGATAGAACATCAGACATAATCAAAAATCGTCTAACAACAACGATTAGAAGAACATTTAATGCGGCTAAACCGCGAATAATCTTCACTAGTAGGGACTTATCTTCTGTATCCATAAAAGATAAGCTTCCGCGTCTGGTCGCCTCTATGTGCAACTACCAGTTCACCTGCTCTTGTGCAGCAAGGTACATTGGCCGCAGCCAGTGCTCGCTTTCAACTCGGAAACGGGAACATATCCCAGCTTGGTTCTATAAGGGTGAAAGGAAAACAGTTAGGAGTTCTATACTTAAACACCTAATCGACTGTAACTATTCTACAGATCCACAATTTGATTTTAAGGTTGTTTATATAATTCGTTCAAATCTACCCAGATTTCTTCGTATCCAACTCATAAAAATAGCCGAAGCTCTTACTATCCAGGAGCTTAAACCAGAACTATGCGTACAAAACAAGTACGTCTTATCGTTATCTTCACCTTAGTCTTAATTATTTCGATTATCCTATTATTATTATTACTGCATTCTCCCCTTTACTTATGTCTTATGTTCTCATTGTTTTATTCGTGAATGCTCATCATATCACCTTATTTATTTTTTACACCTCTATGACCTTTAACTATTATAACAAAAAAACATTTTAATCATCTTATTATATTCACTAAATCTATTGTTATTATTCGTATTACGTATAACCTTTTTTATTACGTCATAGTTAACTGGGTTCACATTTCCTCACGGAATTAGTACTTTAACAAAAAACAAGAAAATTTTCATATATATTCGATTGTACAGCTTGATAATCAATTCGTTGAATAGAGATCCCTTCAATGAATTTTGTGTTTTAATTTTAATGTTTAAATGGGAATTATCTGTCAAAAGTGGCAATTGACAAGTGTTGATATTCTTGTCTACCTTAATTAAATTAAATTAAACTACTTACACTTTAGTTAGTAGTACAAAAATTAGTTGTTCAGATTTAAATTGGTAACACGAGAAAAAATTGTCGAATAATTATTAGGAAACTTTTTTCAATATCAAGTACAAATCTATGGAACTAAAACTGTATACAGATAACAGATTACATATATATGTATATGTATACGTTGTTTGACAGAATTTGTCATAGGAATCAGTGCATATAAGGTTTCATTTTAGCCATTTAATTATAAACAAGCTATATATAGAGTTGATATCCAGTGATCACAAAGTTTTGAACAATATATAATTAACTGTTCAATAGATTTAGATATATCAGTCTTAAACGGAGTTTATCACTGTTTAGTAGACTAGATGATAATGTTTCTAATTACATCACTGGTTGAAATGAATTTGATTCTCATTGAGAATATTAGATATCTCAGTTTGAGGATATGCCTTGCTAGTAAATGTTAACTAGAACAAGAAATTGGTTTTAGGTTTCATTCTTACTCTACCTCTATCGTTGCACAATCAGCTTCAGTTATATTACTGTACTATGTAGTTTAAGTAAACAATTAACACTTTGGAAAACCTATAGCAGCCAGGTGGAAATTAACACTAACTCTTTCTTGATATTGCAGTTTTCAGCAGTTTTTACTCGTCTCTTCCAGAAATCGAACAGAGAACTTTTTGATCTAGTCTTAAGCTCTTCAAATTCAGATCACTGACCTTATATCCACTGGTTAACAATTCCAAACTTCAACAACACCCATATCATGTCTGAAATGTATGAACTCCATATTAGCAAAATTAGACTATTCTATAAACACTACTGGTTCTAGTGTGCTTTATAAAAAAAATTTGATTGCTAGATATTGTTAATATGAAGAGCGTTTCACAAATTCTGAATAAATGTCTTTTACATGAATAATGTCCCATAATAAAAGCCAAAATATGTTGAAATCTATTTTTATGATTATGAGACTTAACTTCCAAACAGTGCTACTATCCTCAACACAACACAATTTAACAAATAATTTGTTAAATAGTTGAATTCATGAGTCGATTTAAGCTAGGCCACCACTGAAAACCTGGAAGCACTGGACGACTGATTCGTCTTAACCCGGGACTCCTCAGCAGTGTGCACCAACGATCCTGCACTCAGGACTCGAACCCAGGAACTTCGGTTTCGTGCACAAACGCTTGACCATTGAGCCAGGTCTTCAATAGTAGTCTAGTTTAAACCGACTCATCAACTCAACTATTAAATTACTACAATCTCCACCAACCCCCTTTCTGAATTTAATCGAGAAAAAGCATTACTATACCATATGAACCGTGAACAAACTGTTTTCAAAACACTATTCTTGCTAGAAGTCATTGTAGGTCATTATATAACTGAATCAGTGAATGTATTTATAAGTCTAACAGACGCAAACTACATACTAGAAAAGATTATTGAGACAGAAACTAAAGCTTACTATAATATTTTTTAATCTAAGACCTTCTTGAACTATAATGATAATGGTCATACATGAAATGCAAAAGTTTACATTCTTACTATTTGTCTAGGATGGTTGTAATATGTCAGCCAGCAAGTAAAGAGGGAAATATAATTAAATATTAACTTCGACTGTAAATGTACCAGATTTTTTGAGTGCTGATTAAGCAGAATTTTATTGGAAAGAACTACTTTTCAAGTACATATAATATAAAGACTTTAGAGTTAGACAATTATCGGTCTAGAAGTTAAGAGTTCACGCGCGAGACCAGTAGGTCCTGGGTTTATATCTCACGAGGCGAGATCGTGGATGAGCACTGCTGAGGAGTCCCACAATGGGAATGGAACGGCCGTCTAGTGCTTCCAAGTTTTCCATGGTTGTCTAGCTTCAGCTGATTGATGATCTCAACTACTAAAATTACTATAATATCTACAAAACCCCTTTTAATGTAAATTATCATAATGATTATTCTGAACTAAAACAAAAACAAAATGAGCTCCCATAAACTATCTTACTGAAATGATCAATTAAAATAATCAAATTACTTACCCAATGATTAATCACAGAACTTTTGACTTTTAAGTTACTGATAATTTGTGTATACTGTCAAACTCAAAATGTTTTACAGAAAAAAAACAAGTTATAATGCATTACAAATTATATTCTTTAAAAAAGGTTTTCAGAATAACCGATCGTTTTCAAAATATTGATTGGCCAAACAACAATGTTTATAAATCCCGACATGTAAACCAATTACAATACCCTGAACAACATTCTGAATGTTTCCAACATCTATTTCCTGAAGTTAAACATTCTACACATTCTCCATAAAATGGTGCACTTAGTTTACACACAGTACCATCGCAACATCTGTCAAAAATAGTTTTTGCACATGTTTCACCAATTGCTTTACAAGCATCTGAAAATATGCAGAGAAATAAGATATCAGTTTTTAATTTGTGTAAGTAAATAAATAAACCAAATAGATAAATTGTAATACTTAAGTTATTCTGATCCAGCTTGGAATTTTCCCAAGTTAACTAATACAATAAAGAAATTATAGAACCTTCTATGAACAGACGTACTTTTCATCTTCATGTGATTAATGCATAACGAGTATCAAGGATAACTGAACGTAACCATGAAAAAAGTGTTGTAAATTTTTATTTGATATAAAATTCATAAACAATCATCCCATTTAAGCTACTTTTAGAATAAACCATTTTAATACTGAGTTTGACTATTTAACTAGATATTTAGATATGAAAAATAACATCAATTTTGAATAATATTTAAGTGAAGATAAGATGTTAACGTAACAAAATCATTCTATTTCATGAACATCCAGGTAACTTCAAGTTTGTTACATTTCCTCGTATTTATCCTAATGAAAAGTCTCTAGCATATTTGGCATATTCTAAACGATACATTCGTCAATCTACCATTACTTCAGTTCTGAAAATTGTCTAGCGTAAAACTTTCTTTTACACATTCTTCATGACCAGAATCAATCTTCAATATCAGAAGTCAAACAAATTAAACATTTACTCATAATGATATAAACTTCATGCTATTTGAATCAGTTAGGAACTATCTGGATTCAACAGTTATATGTATAACACTCTAGGTGTTTAAAGCGAAACGTACTGGGTTCGACACTCAGTGTAGTCAGGGAATATTTGCCTGAAAAATCTCAGATACGATGAAATAGCTGGCTACAAACCATTTATTCTACATAGCTTGTGGTATGATGATTACATTTAAGGAATCCTTACAGAGTGCATATATGGCAAAACGATTGACTGAACCTTAGTCTTGAATATCGGCAACGTGATCATTTAAACCTTCATTAATAATACTGTGGTATGTGTTACTGATGTCAGCAGATGTAAGTGGTATATATCACCAATCAAAAGTAGAATGTCTGGCGGCAGAGGGTTAAGAAAATTTATAAGCTATTTCTATGTTTGGTAATGTATTTCACACAAATAAAGTTTAGTTTTGACAAAACTAAATATTAATAACGTCAGCCCATGTATTGATAATCTAGTACCGATTAACAAGGTGAACACTTAAACCTCTTTAGAGCTATACACTATAGGATTTAGTGATCCATGATAGGCAAACAAAACATTTCTGCTGAAATCTATTCACCATCTGTAATCAAACAAGTCTTTTAATTAAAACATTTAAATGGATTCTATCGAATGGTATCTTTTATCCAAGGCATTTATAATCCAAAGAGTTTTTCACCAAATTGATAAACGTTAGACATCCATTTCAATTACATTTAAGCTTGAAATATTAATTGATATTTTTTGAATAGTAGGCAGTGTAATGACCATTATAACCATCATGATTAAATACAAATACCAGTATAGGGTTGTGGAGATTGTTGAGTTTAAGTTGATATCATGAATGGATCAATGTCAAGCCACCATTGAAAACCTGGAAGCACTGCTGAGTCCCATACTAACACAAAACGGCCGTTCAGTGCTTCCACGTCTTCAATGGTGGTGTGACATTGATCCATTCATAATATCAATTTAAATACAAATATATTGCAAAGCTAAATAGACATGTTTTTTCTAAGTATTGAGGTATATTTAGCCAACATTTTTAAAAAGGACTTCAATATTTCTTTTATATTTTACTACTTGGTTTAAATACTTACTCCTGTTACTCCTCGTGAAGGAGCATAGGCCGCTCAACAGCATTCTCCATCCAACCCTGTCCTGGGCAATTCTTTCCAGCTCCTTCCAGTTGTTATTCATCGTTTTCATATCTGCTTCTATTATCCGACGTAACGTATTCTTTGGCCTTCCTTTTCTCCGCTTCCCTTCAGGATTCCAAGTTAGGGCTTGTCTCGTGACGTAGTTTGACGATTTGCGTAATGTATGTCCTATCCATTTCCATCGTCTTTTCCTAATTTCTTCTTCAGCTGGAAGCTGGTTTGTTCTCTCCCACAAAAGGCTGTTGCTGATGGTATCCGGCCAATGGATGTTGAGTATCTTGCGTAGACAACCATTTATAAATACTTGTACCTTCTTAATGGTAGTTGTTGTAGTTCTCCAAGTTTCAGCTCCGTACAGTAGAATTGCCTTGACGTTCGTATTGAAGATTCTCACTTTGATATTGGTTGAAAGTTGTTTTGAGTTCCATATGTTTTTCAATTGTAGGAATGCTGTCCTTGCTTTGCCAATCCTCGACTTTACGTCTGCATCTGAACCTCCTTGTTCATCGATAATGCTTCCCAGGTATGTGAAGGATTCTACATCTTCCAGAGTTTCTCCATCAAGAGTGATTGTATTGCTGTTCTCCGTGTTGAATTTGAGGACCTTGGTTTTCCCCTTGTGTATGCTGAGGCCTACTGATGCAGAGACTGCTGCTACACTGACTGTCTTCATCTGCATTTGTTCATTTATATGCGATAGGAGGGCCAGGTTATCTGCGAAGTCCAAATCGTCTAATTGATTCTGAGCTGTCCATTGTATGCCATATTTTCCCTCAGATGTCGAGGTCTCCATAATCCAGTCGACCACCATAAGAAAGGGGAAGGGAGAGAGTAGACAGCCTTGTCTGACTCCGGTCCTTACTTGGAATGCATCTGTCAGCTGTCCTCACTTGGTTTAAATATCAACTAGTTATTTGATCATAAAGAACATGAATTTCCATAACGATAGTTTAACTTATAAATACTATCAAGATCGCTTCATTGGATTGTTTAATGCTTTGTTAATTAATCCTACGAATGTCCTATAATATATCGATCTACATTTCTGTTACAACGTAAACAAAACGTTCTCTAAGGTCTCATATGTGATATTATGATTCAGTGATATGTAACAGATAATTAGATCATACCATTGTGTCATAATATCGGTTAAATCATATTTATTAATTATACTTCTTAGTTAAATTCATGAGTCAATTAAAGCTAGACCACCATGGAAATCCTGGAAGCACTGAATGGCCGTTTCATTCTAGTATGGGACTCAGCAATGCGCATCCACAATCCCGCCAGCGGGGTTCGAACCCAGGACTTATCGATCTCGCGCGCGAACGCTTAACCTTTAGACCACTCAGCCGGCCGGCATCCAACGGTGTTAATGTCTAACTAGGATGAAACGGCCTTCCAGTGCTTCTAGGTTTTCCATGGTATTCTAGCTATAATTGACTCATGAATGCAGCTATTAAATTACTAAAATCTCCACAAAACACCCTTCTGATAATAGTTATATTTCTGTTAAGGAAATTTTTTGTTGTTAAGCTAACAACAAACTAAAGTAACAACGTTATCAATACTAATCTGCTTATTAATGAAATACTGAAGTTTAATGATAGATCTCATTCCACATCATAATTTAGTATTATTCTAATTTGGTAATGGTAAATAAATATCTGAAATCTGATCATTTATTTCCTATGTATCTATATCACTAATATAACCATAGATAAATGGCTAATTTATTTACTTACCAACGTTATAATTTGCTCGCAATGAAAATACCAGAACGATAACAAAAATCGAGCTGAAAAGTTTCATCTTCCTTGTCAGGCAAAGTGTTCTTTAATAGCAAAAGTTGTAATGTCTCATATATATATCAGACTTTTAAAAGGCAGAAACATGTTTATTACTACCAAAGCTGCCAAACTAGGCAAATACGGATCTAATTTAATTACTTCCGGTATTTAAATATACTCGTTGTATAAGTAAACGTCTATACTTGTTGTACACCATCCTACATTGATATGATTCTTTTTTAATCTGATATCTCTTTTCATATAAATGTATTTCTGGTGTTGAGATGGTGGAGAAGATTTGTAGCTCAGGTGGATGATTTTGGTGGAGTTTTGTTCTCTGAGCTCAGAGAACAAAACTCCACCAAAAGTATTTCTGGTGTTTTTGATGCAGTACATTTCTGTAATTTAATTCGAATCTAATTTTACAATAACAGTTGCTCTATCTCATGTTCCGAATCCATTGAGAATAAAGTATGGAGAGTCCAAATAAACCTACCTTACATGACTACTAGAAATTGTCTATACAGTTTTCATGTAAATTTTACGACATTAAGCTTAATTAACACCAAGTATAGTCTATCACATTATCAAACTATTTGAATCCTTAATCAAAAGATGAAGCTCAATTAATGAATTTATGCTATAATGGTGGTTAGAATATGTCACCTATTTGATATTTCCTCTTACAAATGTATTGAATAGTACAAATCACATATCTTGAATCCTGTTAATAACTGCAATGCAAAAATATAAAAAAACTTTTAACCATAAGCAATATTCAGGTATCTGTTCAGAATATGAATATGCCAAGATTCAGTATTTAATATAAACAACAAACAAACACTGGTTCATGGAATTCATCTATATCTTTAGTGGAAGAGGTATCACCAACGACACTTGATGATTATTATGCCATACAGCAAATACATTGAATCTGGATTTACTTATCTACAAGTGATGTTTTGTTTGTAAAACTTGGGACTCTGAACTCGATTTTGCGTTTGGTTGCAATGGTTTTAAGTAAAAACAAATCAAAGGTTCAATATTTCTCTGATGAATAGCTATTTGCGTCAACATTGGTTTCAAAGGTAGATAGCAGGTAATTAATTTCTTTAAAAATGAAAGTCAAGATTTCCGGATAAGTAGTTTAAAGCCTCCATCATTTCTTGAAAATAACATTAATGATATACTAGGATTAAACTGAAGCTAATTGTTTACATACAGCCCCTTTAATTTGATCTTCATAAACCAAGTAATGAATATTGAATTAGGTTTTCCATTTCTTTACATCTTTATAGAGTTTTCAGGTTATTCAGATTCTAAATTTCGATCACTAATACTTTTCGGCCGAATCGAAATACTTAATATATGTATGCTTGTTGTGATACATTACGTAATCTTGAAAATTAGGAGTCTTTGTTTTAACTATGACATCTGTGACAGATTATTTCAAAGATAACCCAAATAAACGATTTCTTTTATTACTTATTTGACGCCTGTTTTTATAGGATCAACTTTGGCATTCTTATTTACCTTCAACCCAATTGTTCATCTTATTCTTTAAATTACAAACATTTTTGAATAGTTTTTTTTATGACATTCATCTTAAGTGTATTTTACTGACATATAGTCACTCATAGATACTTGATTCAATATCAATCATTATATATCTTCAAGCATATAGACCCCTTACAGTAACTTAGTAAACGTAAGAACAAATAAATCTAAGTGATTTATCAAATACACGTGTTTGCAAATTAGGACTAATCATACTGCGCTGCCGCCTAAACGAAAGTCAATAAACTGAGGTTCCAATCTACGACCTACCAGTTAAAAGCCAAATACTTCCCAACTAAATGTTTATATTTGATGATCTAGACATAAAATATTGTCATATTAAATAACCCTTTTCTTTAGGTATTATTAATTATCTCAAAATACGCAAGCTATTTAGAGCATAGAGTTCATGATACTTAATATTATTTCCTATCATAATATTTGTGTAAATAATTCAATTTAGAATAATACATTAGAAAACAGGGAGCAAGTCTACAAAACCTCCAGTCTTGATTCTTTAGATCATCTATTTTTATTTATTGAATTATGAAAGGAAAACATTTCCGAGATTTGTTCTCTCGAATGTTTCTAAATATTCATGAAAACATAAATCTCATCCATTATTTCTCCTTTCAGACAAGCCCTAACTTGGAGTCCTGAAGGGAAGCGGAAAAAAGGAAGAGTAAAAACACATTACATCGGGAAATAGAAGCAGATATGTAAAGGATGAATAACAACTGGAAAGCGCTGGAAAAGATTGCCCAGGATGGGGTTGAATGAAGAATGCTGATGACTGGCCTATGCTCCTTCACGAGGATTAACAGGCGTAAGCAAGTAAGTAAGTAAGTAAGTAAGTAAGTAAGTAATTTCTTCTTTCATAAGTCGGATCATATATTTGCTTCAATGTTGCTAAAAATGAGATAACAATATAAAATTTCATTGACTATCCATTCATCATATTCAAATTCTCAATAAATTTTATGAAAAACACATTCAAATTATTTACGAACAACATTTAAAATTCCTTAATTGATTATAAATGTCCCCCGTTTAATAATGATGTTTTTCATTTGTACACTTTCCTAAAGTACATTTGTGTGAACAACAATTTTTATCCGATATACAAAGAGTACCCCCTTTTAAGCATTTGACACATTTCCCATGAAATGGTGAAGTTAAATGACATACTGTATCGCCACAACATCTGTCAAATACAGTTTTACTACATTTCTCTCCAATTGCACGACACCCTGAAATTGATATAAAAGTACATTGAAATTAAAAATTTAATCTTTTATTTTCTTGTCAATATTGATAAAATATAAAGGATTAAGACAAATGTCAATGGTAGCAATTATTGATTAAAGTTTAATATAACACTTTATTGAAACTAATGCTTAGTCAACTGTTTAAATGTCTTGAGTCCGATCCCAGTATGAATCGTGAATTCTTCGCTAGTCACTGTCGTTATGGAAATAATAAATCTGTTTTTAAAAATATTTTCCAAGTTTCAACTACTTCGTTTTAAAGTTTAAACGTTAACGCAAAGTTATTAGGTTAAGAAACTTGGAGAAAACTAATCATCGTTTTCACCAATTACACAATTTGAATGATAAGTATTCGGTCACCTAAAATTTGTTGAATTCTATCAGGTTTAAACGAATTAAAAAGTTCCTAGCAAGGTAGATAATCACTCGTAATCTAAATAGTTGCGTTCCTAGGGACCTGTTACGATGCTCAATGTTTGAAGTGTAAAAACCTTGACTGGATAAAAAACCTAGATCCTAGTTTCAGTTACCAAGCAACTAGATTAATCAAATATATGAAGAGCGTTTTGTAATTAAGTTATAGTTCTGTTTTACCCATTCATTGTCAGTGAATATTGTTATACACAGGTTCAAAATATTAGGCCGGTTGGAGGTAGATGACATGACGCACTTATAGATAAGATATAATTAGTACAAAAGTCCTAGAGAAACACAACATTAGTCACTTATCTGTGATTGATCAGTAATAAACAAATTTGTGTACCTGATTAGTTAATTTAAGGGGCACAGTTAGTTACAACACTATTTCTTAATTCAAAGCCATAGTGACGTGCTACTAATTTCTGATTATTTCTCAAATCATTTCCTCATATCTCTCGAATTACTATCATATATTTATGTGCTGAATTCCCATTCATTTCTCCTGGTTTTCGTGCTTTTACCTAAATACAGTCTTTTGATAGCCAAATTTCGGGATAAGTTAGGTTAATTACCGGAACTAATTAAAAACAGAAATGGAAGTAAAGAGACACTTGAAAAATACTTTTATTCTTATTCTATGCCTTTCAGAATAAATTGTTCATAGCGGAACTGTCATATTTCAAGACTCCAAATCTGATGGATAATATACTTTCAATCCGACATTTTTTGACAATTTACTAACCATACTGTTTTCTGATTCCTCTATCTACAAACAAATCGTCCTTTTTGTAGGTATACTCAATATTAAAATGTATGTATATGATCAAACTAAACGTTCATTAAACTTAAACATGATAATTGTTTCTATGAAAATGAATTCCAGTTTAATATAATGTGGGAATAACTTAAGCTGTTTCAACTGAAGTATACTATTGATTGAATGTATTCTATAGGACGAACTGATATCAGCTTGACGATGGCTTTTTTACAGTTGATTGACCACTCAGTAGTGACCAATATAACGTGTGTCAAGTTCTTCTTAGTACTAGTCTAGTTGTGGATACATAAGGTCAGTTGCCAACCTAATGGCTCTGTGGTAACGTCTCAGACTGGGAATTTGAATGACATAGGATTGAATCCGTCAAGGAGCATCAAGTCCTTCAAAATTAAAAATACGCTTTGCTGATGAATGCCAGTTAGCATATAACCTAGATACAAGAAGATAACTATCAGTCACCTATAAGTGATGTCATTTCTTGATAAAAAGTAACTATCAGTTGACTAACTTTTTAAAAAATTAATAATAATAAAATATCAGATGGGTTTTGTGGATATTACAGTAATTTCAATGGTTAAGATCATGATTCAGTTGAAGCTAGTGCTCGTGAGCGAAACCAATAGGTCCTGGGTTCCAATCTCGCAGGGGGCGAGGTCGTGGATGTGCACAGCTGAGGAGTCCCACAATAGGACGAGACGGCCGTCCAGTGCTTCCAGGTTTTCCATAGTGGTCTAGCTTCAACTGACTCATGATCTTAACCACTGAAATAATAAAATAGTATACAACTTCTCACCTTTTCCATGAATGTTCTCCAACAATAATGTCAAAATGATTGTAATAAATAAAATTGATACTTTCAACATATTGTTTGTTAAATGTTTGTTTTGGTACTACGAAAAATCTCCATCTGTCAACGGTATATATATATATAAACCTGTTGACTAACCCAAAAAGGGGTGCCCATTTCATCTATTTTACAGTTATTATTTTAGATAACATACAATTAGAATAAAATGCTTTCCTATGATTATTTGAACTACATAACGACAGTATTATTTATTTACTTAATTGCTAACAATTAAGTTATATCTGACCCTAACTAATTGCCGGAAATAAGCATAAAACTAATTGTTTCTTATAAATGTTTACTAATAGATGTTATTTTTCTATTTATATTAACTATCTATTTGGTTTCAAGTTGATTTGTGCGTTTGAAGTTTTAATCTGTCAATGATTCAAGAAGGTTTATTTATATAACTGTGAATATTCATAAAGTTCTTTCTATGAACTTTGTTTATTCGATCTACTAAGGTTCATCAATAAAATGTATTCGGAAACTTTAAGTGATTTTTAATTTTTCCTTGAGTTCTAACAGCTGTCTACTCAAAATACTTCGAATCCGTTGGCCAGACACTATCAACAACAACCTACTGTGGGAGAGAACAAACCAGATCCCAGCGAAGGAAGAAATCAGGAAGAAGCGCTGGAAGTGGATATATATATATGCATTCAAACATGATGTAATCATTTAAGCAATTAAGTCAGTCTATGATTTGATATAATTACAACACAATGTTGGATAAATTTAAAAGTTGCATTTTTTAAATTAATTTGAATAATAATTTATTAGGTATTAAAACAAATTGCTGTTGTTGTTTTGAAAACATTCCTTATAATTATTGGTTGTATCTAGGTGTACTTGTATTAATTCTCAAGTAACTATTGTTATTATTGAAATCACGTAGTGATACTAAGCAATCGTCCTGTAAATTAATTAACCAAGATTCGTGAATTGTAATGACACTACAATCACAATACATATTTTGACTTAGTAGGAATTGAAGATAGTTCACCTCAGTAATTAGTGATCGGCAGTTAGGATTTAACAGTTCGGGGATCGACATATGGCATTTTGCCAACGACAACGATGTCTCTTATTGTACTTTTTTGTAACTTGTGCAGCGAAAAGTCATAAGCTTTTCATAAACGTGCCTGTATAGGTTATGCGATTAGTAGATATAATGTGTTAAAACAAAAAAATTTTTAAAAACATAACTTTTTGAAATATTTAGATGTTAGAAACAGGTAGCCCAAATAATCAAGCAGGCCACCGATTCGATTTAATATGCTAACTATATCTATTTAATAGGAAAACCCTAAAAGAACCTGCGGTATTAGTAGTGATGATAATAATAATAATAAACGAACATCATTTGGTGATTTTTTTACTTAGCTGCTTCATCGAGACATTGAATAGGTTGTCTGCTTAAAACTAGCAAATTAAATTTCATTAACTATCAAGCAAAAATCACTGTTTTTTAAGCTCTATCGCTGACTATAGGAATACGTCCGTGAATAGAAGCCAATAATCTGTTTCACAACATGTTGAAATGTTATTTTATGTAATTAGTTTCCGGGTTAAGTAAAATGCTTAACAAAATTTGATTCTTTAAATAGTACCGGAAATTATGTTTAAAATATGAACTCACTCACGCGGTGGTTGATTCTTTTCGATACGTAGTTATCTTGATAGGTCACCAAAACTCTTCATAATCATAACGCTTTTTTAACAGATATCATTTAGAGACTATCTATTTGTAATCCATCTTTTTGAAATTCTATCATCCCTATAGTTACAGAGTTTTCAGATGAAACATCTTCCAGGTGTAATTAGCAAATAACTAATTATGGTATTATTTAAGTAGGACAATACGCACCGGATTCCAAAATAATTTTTCATCGAAAAATTTCAGTACAGTCAGTTATTATGAAGTAACCTTTATGTTCAGTGAATAAATTTAAAACGCCGAATTTGTAATATTTGATGCGGTTCTATGTAGTATATATTTCTAAATTGCCAATAAATTCTTGGTAAATCCGGACTACATCGCTTTTAAAATATAAGGTAATATAGTGAAGGTTGATTTAAAGAGTCCTGAAAGCATTTCTGACTACTCATAAGTAGCTGAAATTAAATTGATTTTAACCTTTTTACGATCAAGTAGATAAGATTAATGAAATTTATAAGATAGCATAAGTTGAAAAACATTGAATAACGTTCTCATCACAGTTTCTATTTTTTCATTCCTTGATAAAACCTATCCAAATGAACCAGATCCTTCGCAAACCATGTTATGAAAAGTGTATATTTCTAGAAATAATAACGTTATTTGATATTAAAGGTGTAGAGAAAATGTCTGTACCCAGAAAACCTATACACTAAAGTCCTTATGGTCAGTTAGTAGTATATGTAGCTTAAAATTTATCTCTACTAAGTAAATAGGGATACAACAGTTGTTTATATTTCCGATACAACTTAGATTTTTTAGATATACACTTCTGATATTTAAAACATTCTGCATGACCTCTACCACCCAGAATACTGAAATATAAAACCAGGAGAGAACTAATAGCTGCCTAAAGGCTTTTCCGAGTTGAAAAGACTACTTAACAGGATTATTAGTGTTGCGTCAATATTGTTTTGTGACTTCACTGTTTATATCATAATATAGTAACGATAATAATAAGTTTATAATTGTTCACCCATATTTTAAGGATTTAATAGATGCTTTCATTTGTTCATAACTAAGATTTAAACTTTTTTCCACTAACTATATAGTTAAATAAGTACAAATCTACTATCCAGATGGAACCAATTAAACACAATATCTGAGTAATTTGCAAGGTTCCATAGTGGTCTAGCTTCAATTGACTCATGATTTCAACTATTGAAGTTACTGATTTTACCTAGTAACAGATTGTTTACAGTTTTAACACTCTTATTATAAACTTACCTTAATGTTTATAAATAAACTGTCAACTGACAGATAACCAATTTCAATGGTTAAGATCATGAGTCAGTTGAAGCTAGACCACTATAGAAAACCTGAAAGCACTGGACGGCCGTTTCATCCTATTGTGGGACTCCTCAGCAGTGCGCTTCCACGACCTCGCCCCCTGCGAGATTGGAACCCAGGACCTCCTGGTTTCGCGCGCGAGCACTTAACCATTAGACCACTGATCCGGCCGGCATCCAACGGTGTTAATGTCTAACTTCAACTAATCCAATTGTTACATATTGATTTTATGTTCAATTATTATACCTAGATAATTTTTTATAAGCAAGAGCTAGAGTCAATGAGTGACATTTAGTCTCCAAATGTTTTGTATTCCTAATTAATCCTTTTCCTAGTTCTCTCACACAAAGGATATTTTACAATGATTGAATCAATTCACTAAAAAAAATTCCATTGATAACTATCGAGAAAGGGTTTTGTAGAAATTTACGATGCTACTTACTACTTTGTGAGTAGTTTATATCGTGTAGAAAAATCCTTAGCTTTTTATGAATGTAATCGGTTTATTAAATATGTCGAACAACCATCCCTTCCCTATTGACTATTATTCACTGTGTTTCTCATCTATATTTATTAACGATCAACTCATAACCTAGAGCTGATTAGATTATCTTTCCTACACTTGCCTAGTTAACTAAGTTGCGTTAATTTTGAAAACGAGTAGAATTAGTTTCTCAATAGTTTGAGGCATTTATCGAGCAGCCCTTATGTTTTGCATCATGCTTGTCAACGCTAATGAGTAGCAATGAAACACAGATATTTTGCTACTGTATTTATGAACTCTAAACTTCCATCAACCTATAAGATATTCTACACACAATTATATGATGTATCTACGGCTCAGTATTCTTAACTTGACACTCGACCAATAAGTAATCAGTTTAAACTTGTCTCATTAGCAATGTTTTGTACTAGAAAGTATTTCTGCAAAGTCGTTATCATTTTATATAGTCCAGGTTTGTGAAATGGAATTTACATATCAGTATAACGTCTCATATCATCTGCTGACTTCGATCATGTCAATTTGAGACTTAGAACTTTAATCAGATCATGAGTCAATTGAAGCTAGACTACCATGGAAAACCTGGAAGCACTGGACGGCCGTTTCATCCTATTGTGAGACTCCTCAACAGTGCGCATCCACGATCCTGCCTCGTGAGGTTCAAATCCAGTACCTATAAGTCTCGCACGTGAGCACTTAACCATTAGACCACTGATCCGGCCGGCATCCAACGGTGTTAATGTGTAACTTCAACTAATCCACGAAATTGAGCAACACATCCACAATTGTCTTCAGTGTGTTACTATTGTTGATTATAAAAAGACAAAGTGCCTTTTACAATTCATATTATTGATCATTGTTTATATACACTTTTTTCTATTAACACTGAGTAAGCAGATGAATTTAAAATACAGAAAATGTGGTTTATACAGTTATCCTGAAAAAATAATAATAATATTCCAGCAATGTTTATACGGATGAAAAAGAAAAGAAACCACATATACATAATTTAATCATGCATAAAAATGAATAAATGAATGATAATGAAGTAAATGACCTTCTAGTTAGTTACTTTCCAGTGATTGGCCTCTTGATAGACAATGAAAATAGAAGTTTATATTCATATTTCAATATGGCCTATTTATCATTTGATCTTTTTAAAAAAGTTATTCGTTGCAATTACATAAGTTTGTTTTCATAAACATAATAAAAAAGAAAATAGAAGAAATTGGACATCTTCTTGTATTCTAAATGCCTATACTTTAAGAATTCGATAAATGTAAAATATAAATACACTGAACATAAAAATATAAAGTGTTGTTGAAACAGTTAATAGTGTACTTGAATTACATCCATTTTTATTGTTACAATTACAATATCGAACTTTAACACGATATGTACCCAAACGATCTATACACCAACGACCATCTTCTGCACCAATCACACCAGTTACAGCACAATCTCTATAATAACGTCTAGTCCATTTTCCATCTAGATACACTGTATAAATAAATGGGTAGGAATTTTTTGTATGAACAACTGCAGTATTATTTAGATATTAATGAAGTGATGCTGAGCAAAGACTCAATATATTAAGTAAAAATTACAAATCGATTGATAAGGTAGTGAATATTTATCAACTGAGGTAGTTTAGACATGCTTTATGTGTCTCCAACCACGTTCTATCTCAATGTGTGATGTTTCCTGATGTGAGAATAGGTTTGAAAAATCAGAATCAACGCATGGCATCAGTCTATAAAATTACTGACTGTCGGGCTGAACTGTGTAAGCGAGTACAAACTAAGTAGTTGGGGTGCGCTAGGTTATTTTGACCCATTTCTTGAAAACAATGGGTTAAATGGCTCGAAATTGGTCTCAGTGGTGCACACTAACTCTGTTTTTTCTTCTTAACATACCCATACCTTTTATCTCCTAGTATCATTCTTTCCTCTAGAGTAATTCCTCCCATACTTTATATTTCCACTATTACTGATACTGTTAATACTTCTATCTCTCTCTGCCGATATGCTATGGCGATTTTAATCAACACATATATGTGCCAGGCTACCGGAGTGCTTTGAATCGATTCCTCACCAAATCTTGAAAGTTAGTAAAACAAAAGATAAATAGATACTTATATTGTCATTAAGGCACTGAGAGATATCTATGATGTAAAACTACATTTCCACACATCACAACCTGTAATCGATGCAAAGTCTACGGTTTACGAATAAACAATTAATGTTAGTGATGCAATCCAGCGAATACTAGTGAAATAGCGAGTAAACTTCTAACATTGAACGTAAATTGTGATGTGTTATATACGAACATGATTTAATGACTCAATTTCCTAGCAATACTACTCCAAGACAGAACACTGATTATATATAAGCTTCTTAGTTAACTAGTACCCAACTCGTAGTATTAAAAGATTGAAAGTAATCGTTCCTTGTTATGAAGTACTGATGAGTCAGCTCACTTTTTTAAAACACCAGTGCTTCGAGCGTCCTCATTTATCAGGTATTTGATGACAGATAAACACACTAGGGTAGTTGTTATACAGTTCGCAAATACTCATATTCATCAAAACATACGGGCGCTTGGTACTGGTTTATTAAACTACAAGGAAATCCTTCACTACAATGAAACTGATTATTTTTCCTAATACTTTATTGACTTTATTCAACATTATATTTTTGATACAATATAGAATTCTCAGCAGAAACGAACGACTGAGGATCTTTCTGGAGTGTACTCTTGCAACGCATCTATAAATGTAATGTTACGAAAATTAGTCTATCAAAAAGAACCATTTTAACTGAGTCTGTGGTACAGAGGAATAGTCATATAACTCAGTACAATATTTACATTTGTGTGCTGTGTAAATTTAATCTTATGCTATTGTAGAGTGTGCTTGTATATTAGGTCGTTAATTTTTTAAATGTTGAGTGTTACTTACTTCGAATCATTCATATTTGAATGAGGATCAATGCAAATAAATCATATTAAACTTTGTTTGTTCAAGTATAGTTTGGATCTGTTTTTGATGCATAATAAGCACTTATCTATGGTTTCCCCTTTCTTTCTTAGCATCATTATATATCAGCGTTTTGTTTACTTATAAAAATATAAAGATGACTAGTCTATTGTTGGAACGAAAAATTATACGTAGTTGCAAAAGCAATAGACAGACTAATGACAAGAGGATTGAAGTGATTTTGGTCATTTTATGAAATCCATCAATCTATCACCTCCATACCAGTTTTGTCCACTATCCTATGAATCATTTTATATTTGTGGCATCTAAATAATAATAAGTATACAGTAAATATATGTGGTTTCTGCCTCACTAGTGCACTATCCTTTATCCGTCTTTGATGTGAAATTTTTGTAAGAAACAAACTGTGTTCGGCACAAGAAACTCACAAGACAGTCACAAAAATGCCTAATATATGGAACCAAAGCCCATAAAAACACTAAACCGAGTCGAAGGGTATAAACTACACTCATAGCTGTCATTAACAGCGACAAATGCCTAACATTATATTGGTATTTGCAGTATGTTGACTAGTTTCTATTCAAAAGATGATATGGCTACCATAAACATAAGATCTAAGGCATATAAAAACTGTGGTACACGACCCAATAGGGAAGTGTTGTTTACACATTTATTTAATCGCTACAGAATTATTATTGGCTCAACACGGTGAGCTTAAAAGTCCACATGAATATTATGAACTCAATTAGTTGGTTTCTTTTATGCATTGTATGAGCTTACACCTTCGAAACAACTATTTTAGATATTTTATGTTGAAGGGAGCCACGAATCTCTTAGTAGTAAAGAAACGTTTTCTAACATTTTATCGACTTGCTTCATAAATTCACATCTGACCCAATGTTTTCCTAAGTAACTAACGTATATATCACGAAACCAATGGCAAGAGTAACTAAAAAAGTGTAAGTGATCTATGAGTTCCCGTGAGACCAATGTCATATATCTATGGCAAATATTGAGCTAAGCTGAACGCGATTACCGGAACCCCTCTCAAACTTACCAACGGCTGAAACTTTTCATAGTCATAATCTCAGGTTTTCAATTTTCAGTAACATTTAAAGTAAGAACAAAACCAATATGTTAGTGGAGATTCGATTGAAAAAGAGAGGTAATAATTATCCTATGCAAAATCAGTAATAAAACAAATTGTTCTGCTTAAACATGCCGTACTAGTGAATTACTATAAAGCTCATACAATGAACCTGAATTAAAGATTTTAAAGGCAAATTAGCCTTAATTGCTTGATGCATCAAACCAAGTTTTTTCCTAAAAATAGCCTAAAACTATCTGCTAGTCGATTTGTTATTTGTTACAAATTCGAACCAGATGGGTAAATATAGTTGAACCAACATCCTTAGAATTAGCGTTGCTATAATAAAATTACTTTAATAGGGTTGATGCTGGTAACCATGTTATATTTTGAACATACATCAGAATAGTTTTGATATTCCAGGGAGCAATAGCAAATCAATATTAGGGCGACAAAAATGTCCCAAATAATTTATATACAATCCTGAATACCGTGAGTCATTAACCCAAAACGTTATGCTTTAAGACATTATGACCAGTCAACTTTTGAGCGATAAAGGCAAATTTCGCAAAACATTGAACAAGGTCGTTTTAAGCTAACTCAAGATTGTCAGTATTTTAGCTGAGTATTAGACACTGTTCGCAACAAATTATGATGTAGTTGACTGGGAAAGAATGCAGTGCAAAACGGGAAAAATAGTCTAATGAATTGCTATGTTTGGCGACACAGCTAATTATATATTTTTTCAAAGAAAATAAGTATGTGAAAACCCATTGAATTTTTTACAAATTTCGCATCATAATTCGCTATTTTTACCATCATTGTGTACGAAAGACATATAATACCCTAGAAAATTACTGAAAATTCGACAAAATCACTACCAAATTTATTTGTTCGTAGAATCCCTTGATTTACGGAATACGAATTCAGTTCGAGTGAACCAAGATGAAAGCAACCAAACTTGTGTACTCACTTTCCTGAATCATCTTGACACACCTAGAATAATTTCTTCCATCATTTGGACAGGCAACTAGTGGAAAAGTTCGATTATCAAAATAGTCTGCACAGTGAGGTTGTGTTAGTGAATTACATTGATAACAACGCAGTTCTGGTCCAATACCTAATACCATGCATTAAATTAAGAAAACGATTAACGATGGACACCCCACCTACTTGGCATACACCTGCCGAAGTCATTATTACAATTAAAACCAATCGCAGCATCATTTCCGGGATTTGAATATGTGCCATTTACAATAAACTACACACGTAGCCTACTAAAACAAACGCCGTAAGACGCTCTTACAGGACCTCCAGTCTTTTAACCATCAAGTGATGTAGGTGTATGTAGAAAGATAAGGTTAAAAGATCACTATTTTGTTGGATATAATTCCACACGTCAGGATCAGATGACATTAATGCCAGGTTCTTTCAAATGTTTACAGGGAATGCAACTGCGAAGATATGAGACAAATTAGTTTGATATCAATGTCAAAAAACAGAACACTCAAATGTCTTTGTTAGTGATAGAAAGGATGGATTATTAATACTTTTCTTTTTGCGATATCCTGCGCTATATCATGTACTCGGTTCGCAACCAAAAGTGAGAACCAGAATTACAGTTCTTTCTGCGCAGTTGCAAGTAACCACCTCCAGTGAGTCAGAAGCAGAAATCAATGAGTGGAAAGGAAATCACATAGTAAGAAGCAAATCGAGTGCCTGTTTGCATGCACTCAATGAACAATTTCACTACCATACATCAATTTACACTGGACATCGCGTACCGTAATCCGATACGGCTTCGTTTGAATGTATCGGCATAAGTAGATCCAGCCACCTGTTGATGCAAAGAAATTCACTTGTTGGTCACTAGATGGGAGGGCTGGTAGTCAACTGACACAACATTCATTCTGGGCTTATCAACATTGCGGAATGTACTTGATGTGTGGGCGAGAATGATAATGATCGGTTGTCTGCTTGGTCGGACATGTAGATGGTCTGAAAGGTGTCGGATGAGCTATATATTCTTTTATCCTCATCATTATTACTACTCATTTATTACTGATTGTTCATTGTTATTGGATTGTGCCGGGTTTTTGGTGTGGAAATATATTTACGTTTTAGTCAGGCTAATTACGTGTTCTTGATCTGAGTTGTGTTGAAGTCCTGTAGAATAGACACTGGTGTAGGGCCAGTGAAATGTCACTGAGCCCTAGCCAAATCATCCGGAAGTTGGATCAGTGAATGTCGAACAGATCATCGCTTCCTGCCAAGGTCATGTACAACCAACGCGCATTAGTTAATCGTATGCCATGGACTGGGCCATGCGGCAGTGGTCTTACTTTCGCTTGTATCTACTTTAACTACTATATTTCTGTAATAACGTCCTTTGTGTTGTACAGTCTTCAAAGTATCTATAGTACCTTGATACGTCAATGGGGTAGTCCACGTAAGGTGCTGACCACGAGGTGTGACTTCGACGTTAGTTGGTTCGTCACACCATTCACGTCTAACTCGAGTAGGCCTCTAATCATTTCGACATAGATCATCTACGTTGGTGATCTACACTGGGAAAGAACCTAATTTAAGTAATCGTTTCAGGTAAATTAACGTCCCATACGTGGAAACGTGGAAACCCAACTGTTATAACAATAGACGAAGTAAAACCGAGAGTTATAACAGTGCTTGTTGTAACGTGTGTGACTGCAGGTTTTGATAAGCAGCGTTTTATCGATCAATTACAGTGACACGTAGAACACGTAAGGACGACCTTGAGTCCCAATTGGTCCCGCTTCCCTGTCTAGCCCAGCCAGTTGACTCCAGAACACAAGTCACAGCCTCTGAGTTATGAATCATTGTATTTCAGACATACTCTATTTATATACTAACGAAACAAACCACATCGTACCATAAAATAGAAAACAACATTTACACAATATTTAACAAGTGAAACAAACATCGACTAATGGAAAATGTCCATTTAACGTTCAAGGACACCATTCAACTTAACACGATAATTATTGGCATATTCCTCTGCATACCTAACAGTACTCATAACGTTTCTGTTCTGAAGAGAAGAGATATTAATTTGTTAAAACACTGTTCACCCGTTTGAAGATTGTAGCTAGGTCGCCTTGAGTACTATAATATGAAAAGTGGTACGGATTTGATCTAACCAGACTTCTCAATTGGCATCTTTGAGATCTTTGGAATCTAATCAGAAGGACCACTGTGAATTTAAATATGTGGCGGCAGTCGAATAACGTTGATTCTCAAACACATAACTTCCCATTCTTTCCGTAGTGAACTAATTTTCATCTCCTTTTTTACGATTATCGACTTGTGATCATCTGAATATTTATTTAGTTGGTCTTTATTAGTATTCATTTAGAGCCCCATGACAGGCCTATATGTGACAAGAAGTTCGAAATATACCACATAATTTCAGATAGACGTCCCATTGTCTTATCAGGATTTCAAAGGAGACCCATACAAACAGTTTCAAGTGATCAAAACCAAAACGTCAGTGAAAATTAGATACTGTCCAGTATCAAAAACCTTTTGTTACGACCCAGTATTATTCCTTCATAATTAAGGACTAGCTATTACTGAAAGATTAATTTATTGTATTCCGTATTTACTAGACAAGCTATCACTCCTCGTTTCCATGTCACCTTTATCTTAAGAGTCTAGAAACCATTAGACTTCAAACAAAACCAAATTTCTATGTTTCATATTTGCAATCAATTTAAGACATTATGCTACTCTGTAATCTCAATTTGAGTTAACAATTTCACTTTATCTGTACTATATTGGTAAGTAAATCCCTAAAATTAATAGCTTTGTAAGTCTTCAACAGTCGGTGCTGATCGCATTAGTTTGTATTCGAATTGGGATTACCAATTGTAGCGTGGCGTCGAGTTGAGATTAACTATGAACACCGCTACAAAGAAACACGTGCCAAATGAATCAGAAGGCGTAAGAAGCTCGTTCCAAATGACTCCATAAAATCCCCGAGAAGCCAAATACCAGAAGGCAATTAATGGACCAAGTCGAGGTTTATTAGCTGGCGATCTCGTGGCATCGAAAGGATACCGAGATCGTGCCAGGATACAACCTTGGTTACAGAAGGTAACCGAATTCGCGCGAAGTTACAATCGAAGTGTAAGTATAAGAATGGAAGCACAAAATAGCTGTCATTAGCACAGTCAAACAAAAGCACATTAAAACAAGCACTGGTACAGTTGGTTATAATAATAATTGTTTCTATTAAACCAGTCGTGTTCTCGTGATAACTGTGAGTCACTACAGGAGCCCCCCGCTAGAAAGGGTTAACACTTTCGATAAATAGCGGTTTAAATCGTGGGACTGATCGGCTAACAAGCGATTGTAGGACGGAAGAATTGGCGAACAGGAAAGCGATCGTTGATCGTCGAGTTGCCAACGAAGGTCGTTTTCGGAGAACGGTACCAGGAGCGATGTGTTGTATTGATTGCTTGAGTTGGCATGCTACACGAGAGTGGTTTGTATCCAGGATCTGAAGAGGGCGTTCGTAGAGAATGCGGACCAGAAACGCTGCAGACGAAGGACGAAACCACGTTGAGCCAAAAGACCAGAAGCGACCGAAACGACCAAGTTCGAGACCAAGCGTATGCCAAGCATTCGAAACCAATATATCGACTGAGTACGTTGACAAGAGCGTGGGTGATCAGGCCAGCTTTCGTCAAAGATGACTGAAGTCGACGGAACCAAACGGCGATGGTCGAAGGCGTGGGCTCAGGAAACAAAAAGAAAATCAAAAAAAGAAGAGTGTAGCATGCGTGTAGTATAGGAATAACCCTACACCATATCGGTTGTTGACTGTGTGACTATTCGCGGAAGCGTACGGGTAACCTTACTCGGCGACCGGAACGTGAGACGTCAGTCTCGTTCGTATTTCGTGAGCCTGCAATCTCATCCGAGGTCAGAGGCGGCGTGGTCTGCTGATCTGGAATTGAGACTGTCGTCTCGTCCGTAGACGGTGCAGATGACGCGTGCTGTTGACCGGGACGTGAGAATGAGGTCTCAGATGCATCTAGCGTGGGACCTGAAGATTTAAGGATCCCGCTAGGTTTGATAGGTCTAGCATTGAATCTCAGGTTACCAGATAGGGCACTGTCATCGACGTGTGCTGGTTTGAGACGATCAACGCTGACGATCTCGACGCGTCCATATCGATCAACCTTGAAGGTCTTTTCGTGACGAGCGATCACGTGAAAAGGGCCTTCGTAAGGTTGTTGCCAAGGTTTGCGTACCGAATCTACTCGTATAAAAACATGTGAACAGGTAGATAACTCTCGAGGGAGAGCGACCTGTCGATGTTGTATTCGAGTTGACACCGGAGACAGCGTTCGCATAAATGCAGACAATCGATGGACGTAGTCTGATTTACCGAAATTAGGTCTGCTCCGTGGTGTGAAGGATTCTCCGGGCAGACGCAATGTCGTGCCGTATACAAGTTCAGTGGCGGAACATTGGATATCTGCCTTTAAGCTCGTTCTCCCCCCCTAAAAGAACGAGCGGTAAGGTTTCATGCCAGTTGCCGTTTTCGTGTGCTCGTAGAACACTTTTAAGTTGGCAGTGAAACCGTTCAACTTAACCATTTGGTGCTGGGTGGTAGACGGATATGCTTATGCGTATGCATTCCGTACCAAACAGCCGGATCAGCGAGGAGAATCGTTAATAGGGTAACATTTCTCGAATAAAGCGTGGAATTCACATCACGCGAATAAAAGGTGACAAGGATTCGGTACACATACGTGTGAGTCTATTATATTAATACTATTCTTACCGTTATCCGTCATGTCGCGTATATTATATATTAAAAAATATGAAAATATACGACAGACGTGGATAGATAAATCATAGACTCACCGAATTGGCTTCTTTGGAAGATTTGATCAGAAGTTGAGGCGTGTTCCAAACTTTGGGATCACCAATTGTATTCGAATTGGGATTACCAATTGTAGCGTGGCGTCGAGTTGAGATTAACTATGAACACCGCTACAAAGAAACACGTGCCAAATGAATCAGAAGGCGAGGGTTGGACGTAACCAAATAGATCCATAAAATCCCCGAGAAGCCAAATACCAGAAGGCAATTAATGGACCAAGTCGAGGTTTATTAGCTGGCGATCTCGTGGCATCGAAAGGATACCGAGATCGTGCCAGGATACAACCTTGGTTACAGAAGGTAACCGAATTCGCGCGAAGT